TGAAATTTCCTCATAAAATTTCTTGAAATTTCCTTATGAAATTTCTTTTTGTAATCTTTCATGAAATTTCTTAACTCTGCCCTGGACCTTGGGTTCAGAAGTTTCTCTGAAGCAAGAGGAGCCCTTTTCGATTACGTTTCAATCAAAATGCAATTCCTCACTCAGATTTTTTGGAAAAAATAACCCTGCGATGCCCTACGCGGCATTTATAAATATGATCAAGGCGTTAAAATGTTTTCACCGCGAGGGCGCGAACCGTGAACGCTCAGTTCATGGGGCGAGTGCCTTACCGCTTAGCTACGCCGACAGATATTGAAATAGCGAATTTGCCAGTACATAAGGCAAATAAAGTTCTTTCTTTCTCCACTAGAGCTGAGAGTAGAGACGCATCGGTGAAACGCTCTTGCTTACTGATGATCTGCGGCAGGATTTTTGTCATCCCTAACCTTCTAAGCCAAGAAGGAATCTCTGCTAAACTCAAACGCCAAATGTGCTGGTTAGGTTATGTTATGACTGTTGTGTTTTGTCCATAGAGTACAATAGAGTCGCAAAGTACTGGAGCGGCGATGAAGCCAATCCATGAACAGGCGTTTCCGAGCCGCGTGTGCTCCGAAAATAGTGAACCATTTGTGAACCCAACGGCATTTTGTAACACGGCGGCTTATGGAGAAATCAAGAACTGCTTGTGGTTTTTAGGTATTTTATAATTCAATCAGCATTAATTTTTGCAAATTTTGCTATTTAAAGGTAGTCAAAGCCATAATGAATCCATTGATGTATATTACTCCTGGATAATATTCATATTGGGATTTAATTTCTGACTTATACCAAGTGTGAACCAACCGGCATTTCTTATCACGGCGGCTTACGGGAAAAGCAACGACTGCCCGTGTTTTTTCGACATTTTTTAATTTCATCGATAATAATTTGTGCAAATTTTGCTACAGTTAGATAGTCAAAGTCATAATGAATCCATTGATGTATATTACTCCTGGATAAAATTCATATAGGAATTTAATTTCTGACTTATACCAAGTGTGAACCAACCGGCATTTTTTTACACGGTGGCTTATGGAGAAATCAATGACTGCTTGTGTTTTTTCGACTTTTTTTAATTCCATCGGTATTAATTTGTGCAAATTTTGCTTGAAATAGATATTCAAAGCCATAATGAATCCATTAATGTATGTTACTCCGAGATAATATTCATATATGGACTCAATTTCAGACTTATTACCGGCCTACTTATTTTAGCTGGTTCAGTGTGTGTCCAGCCGACGAGACGAACGGAGCCGAGTCGGGACTGTCGGGAGTGGGGAGCGCTGAGCGCGAGTCTCTGCGTATGCGTCATCGCTAAGTCGCCGCACACTAGTCTCCGGAGAACTGGACAAAACAGCCTCGAAAAGTGACTTCATCGGCGATCCAGTGCTTTGCGACTCTATTGTACTCTATGGTTTTGTCTCTGGTTGTGTTGTCAACTATTGTCAACAAACAGCTTGTGCTGCTATCTGTTGTTCGATTGTGAAACTAGAGCTGACATTTGACAACAGTGCGGGACTCTATTCTTTATTATCTTTTTGCAGTTTTGGCGGGAAGAAGAGAAGTAAACAATGAGAAGTTGAAGTTGTATCTATCTGTTATCTGTTCGCTGTCTGCTCTGCTCTGCTTCTGCTGTCAGCAGTGTCAGCTGTCTGATAAGTTAGTGATAACATGACATTGTGATAACTACTGAATTACCGATAACAAGATATTTTCTGGAATCAAGTTTGGCATTTCACTATCTGATTACTGATAAGGAGTAAGGAGGTGAATATGCTTCATTGCAGGTCGTCTTCATTCCAGTCTAGGAAGATCTTCGATCTGGTAAGTAAACCACTCCTTATTAGGGCTGTTCTATCGGCTGTCGGTAAGCTACCGAAACAGTTCCGACAAGAAGAAGTTATGATAAGAGCGCTCTTGCCGATAGCGATCAGAGTTTTCGGAGCTGACGAAAATAAGCTGTTACCATGTGTACATCTATTTTACGCGCTGCCGCACCAGGCAATGTGATAAACCGACACACGGGGCAACAATGCATTGAGTGCGAGCTCTCAAAAATCCGATAAGGCCGGCTGTTAACGATACCATTGCCACTGTCGGTACTGCCATCAGTTTCGGTAAGAGACGATATCGCTAGTGTTCCGGCAAGAATTCATTTGAACACCTCTACTCCTTATGTGAATTCTCATGTCGTAGATTCTATTTCAAATCATTTCCAAGTTTGTCACAGTAATTTATTGATCCTCTCGTTCCTCCTAAACATAGTCGAAAGTCAGGTTATGAATTACAGAAGTCAAATCTGTATGAATGAGACTCCTTCTGAGACACTTTTTGATGCTGAACATGTAAAACCACGGGTGCAGAAATTTTTTTGCTCTCACATTTTCTGATACAGTCCTCTTTCCCTTTTTGAATTCTTCACATTTTAAAAACCCCTTTTCGTGGGCATCCTCATTTTCTCTGCGACCAGACTGGTCGTCAGTCACGGAAGTTTTGCACTTCTGTGTAGAACCATGTGCATTGGTACGCCACAGTTCAAACACCAACATTATGAAGAGGCTGAACTTCCTCAGAGGTGTAATTTAGTTGGGAAAAACGGTTGCAGGTTTTTGATTTTACTAGAGATGAGTCACAACCGCACTTACGTCTGGCCAATAGCATCGATTGGCTGGCACTGCCGTTTCAGCACATCGAAGGATGTTAAATTTCGGTGCTCCTGTGTCAACTAAGATCATCCCCAGACTTGCAACAGCTGACTTTTATGCTTATGCTGCAGCTGCAATTGAAGCAAAAAGAAAATTTTGCCTGTTTCGTTTGCTAATGAGATGCCATATTTAGGCTCTAATCGCAGTATCTTTTACGATGGAAGGTATTTAGATTCGCCCGCCAACCGAAGTCAGTCATATGTCGGCTTACACCATGTATTATCAACTATGTCTCTTATGTTCCAGGGAAACCAATCAGGTTGCTGAGAATAGTGTAATCAACCAGTCCAAATCATTTTCGGCCCACATCATGGCTTTTGTAAAAATAGCAACATCTGAGAATGATGACCTCATGGAATTGCCTACAGAGGAAGACAATACAATTTTGCTGTCAACGCTCACAACTTACTTTCCTGGTGCTTGCTCTTTAAAGTACAAATCAGTTTCTGGAACAACAAGAGGAATACGTAATGCTGGTGGTCGTCTTCACCCCCCAAGTCCTGAAGGCTGGGGAAACGAGACTTATTATTGTGTATTTCAAAATGGTAAGTTGTTTTTGTCTGCCATTATCAGCCTCATTTTATAGCTGTAATTTGCTTATTCTTGTAAGCCAATGCGGGAAGAATGTAATTGTTGAAGAAGGGCCATCATTAAGTGCCTGCAAGAGCGAACTATTAATAAGGGATGCAGAAAATTAAGCATTGGACGTACTAGCTGATGCTTAGCGTTCTAGGCTACTGCACCATAGCTATAAATGAATAATTCTGCACTTTCCCGAAGCAAGACTATTTGGTAATGCTTCAAATGGTTTTTGGAGGTCCTGAGATAAATTCGTATAAACGTCAGAACAGGGGTCCAACTGTCCGGTGTGAAGTCTGGCCACATTCTGATTAAAGTCTATAAGAGGCACCATATGACCTCCCTTTGTTAGAACCTATGTATAAGGTGCTGTCATCTAAGGCTGTCACCAAGTTGTGAAAAATTCTATCTCCTCTTCCCCATATTTTTGCTATCTACTAACTCCTATCATTTTAAAACATCAGTTCCAGATCCATTTCTTCGACCATCCAGTTCTGAAATGAGTGCATCCACTATCAGTTCAATATCCAGCGATTCTTTTAATGAAAAAAGCAAGCATAGATCAGCACAAATGGACTTGAGCACAAAAAGTCACACATTTTTGGAGAGAATGAAAGTGAATAAAGATCTGACCAACTTAACAGCCTCCTCAACCGCATTCAACAGCACGTTAAGAAGAATAAATGTTTCTAAAACTTCTAGTTTGTCAATGGATTCCTCCTACAATGCGAAGATGAAAAAGATTCAAGAAACATTAGTGGAACTAAAAAAAGCTTACAAACAGAAATTAATTAATGATTTTATTATGAAAGCGTACAATGATTTGGTTTTTGATAAGAACAGCGGTCTTCCTGAGAGTATAGCTGAAGATTGTCGAAGAAATATCCTGAAAGGAAGATTAGGGTTTTTCCACCATTCTAAGGAATTGTGCAATAGTAAACTTTATGAAGCAATATTTGCTGAACCAATACATAATAATGTGGAGCCATTAAATATCAAAGATAGCAGGATTTTACAAGGAAAACTATTCCAGTTAGTTTTGGACAGAGCTCAAGATGCAGTTAACTCAATCACTGCAGTGAAAGAATGTGAGTATTTTGGATATTTACTTACTTCTGTTCACCAAGTGTTTTCAATAAAGGCATATATTTCAACATTATTTGCAAAAGAAAATACCTAGCTTCAAAGGACTATGCGCACAGAAGAAATTTGGCGCCGAGAAAGATGAGCTTTTAAAATCAAACTTTCCATGTGCCTACCTTGTGACAATTGGGTTTAGAAAGTGTATTTTTTGGCAATTTAACACTTATAATCATTCAGATAAGTGACACCAGTCCGAGTTGAAGATGGGGAGCCTTTTATTTTGAACCAAGATGATGTGCAGTTGTTCTCGGCAGCTGATTTAGATGAACTCGCTCTTTGAGCACCTAAACTCTTCCACTTAATAGTGCATCTACAATTGCCAAGAAATGCACTTTTCAAACCTGATTTTCTCAAAATTGGTACTTAGAAAGTTTAACTTTACAAGCTCATAGGTCTTTCTCATCTATTTTACTTATAGAAAAGTGATCTCCCATAGCTGTTAATTAATTAGAAGGCTTAGGTCTTTTTTTGAGATTGAGCTAAGTTAGTTTGGCCACATTTTCTTCTCGAATTTTCAACAAGAAAGCTGCAAAGCAATGAGCAGTCTGTGCTTGATTTGCACACATTGCAATCGGCTTGACACAGCAGCCTTGTACGTCATTGAAAGTGTTTATTATAGTACATAACACATTTTTCAAGTAATTTCTGACAATTAATTAAAAGAACCTTTATTTTTTGCTCTTAATTTCATTAGTCTCAACCATAGCACTCTTTATTTGTTCCTGAAAACCACACTGAGCAGCTCTATTAATAAAATTGCTGATCTGCGGCATCTTATGGAGAATGGATGGCAGGCAATCTTAAAATCTGGAAATTCTGACCCATCAGTCCCTAGATAATCCTATATTTTGTCATGTTTAGGAGACAAACCAGTTAAAAATCTCCTTAAGTATGAACCGGCTCACCAGGATTTTACCCGGCAGTCCAACCTGCCTGTCCATGATGTGTTTGCCATGGATGACTTTAAACAATACATTTATTTCTTGGTAATTTTATTCTTTCTTTTTATATTTATGCAGGTGGTTTTGCATCATTCTTGACACCTTCTTTAGTCAAACCTGGTAGCATATTCACGGATGAACAACTTACAATCATCTCGCAGTGTCGGAAAATCAAAGGTGCGCATGATAAATGCAAGGCTACTGCCCACCATATCACAGAAATGCTTCAGCGCTTGAGCGATTTGAGGACTACCACCCTTCCAAGATTAAACAATGATGCAGTGGATTGCTTAACTGCTCAAGCCGAAATTGTGAAGAAAGAGACAAGGTAAACCTTTGGTTTTTGGTAACGAGCCTTCATTGCCTTTTCCACAAGGAGCTCGCTTGCTTAGGTACCTCAGTTGGCATTGTCTGCCAATTTTTTACTCTCAATGGCAAATGTGTTGAAAATTATCAAGAATAATGCTCTCTTATTGTTTAGGTCCTGATTGATCTATTATGATGTAACCATGGATTTGTTCCCTCTCTGATGATGTTGATGAGAGAATGTTATAGCTTGAGTCCCAAGCAAGAGTAGAAATTGGAGCTTTAGCATGCTTTTTAAAAGCAGGAGTGGGCTCTAGGGCTGAGTCAACAAAGTTTTCAGTGAAACCATTCCCCAGAAGCCTTTCTAACTTATGCAAAATATGAATTTCCTCTTAATAGGGAAAGAGGATCTTTGAAATATGTTCTTACACTGCACTTTGCCAGTTGCCAAGGGACAAATTTTGATAAGGAATAGTTAATTCCTTCAGCAGAGCCTTTTTTATAAAGACATAATATCTGTCTGAGAGCTCATTTTTGAAACGAGCAAAAACATTGGATCATCATATCATATTTTCCCTAAGTTTGAGTCATGGACTTGGAAATTGGAATCAACTCTTAGAAGGGTCATTCCTTGTTATAACAAATAGATCTGGGATCTGACCACCTCTGATTTGACTCAGATGGTGTATAGGATATTTTCAATATTCCAAGGAACCAATTCGCAGGATTTGCCCCTACGAAATTCTGTACATAAGTCACAAACTCAAAAGGATGAGATTAATTTTAGCAATTTTCAAGAAATCCTGTTTTAACAATTTTAATTTCCTTGATGTTTCTCTTTATGACTTTGCATTTGGCATCAATTGACCACTCTTTGAACGAGTGTTTCTGTATCAATTTTTACTATTCTGAATATGCCATTGAAATCGAGATGAAAATGATTGAAATAGCTGTAATTTAAGATCTATTAACATTTACGATTCCCATCAATTTCTGAACTATAATATCTCCAGAACAGATTATATTATACAGATTATATTTTTGATTTTTTCTCTCTGATTCCAGATTATAGTATACATTTTTGAATTTCATAATTTTCATGATAGTTATCAGATAGTTAGGGCTAAAAAAATGAAAGTAGGCAAGGAAGAATGAACAATCGGCAAGAAAGATAAAAGATTATTATTTACTCAAGTATCAAAGTATCTCAAGCAGTCAAGAATTGTCGCCTCTCTTACGATTTTCTTTCCGTTGCTTTTTTTTTTTTTTTTTTTTGAATCCTAGGATAAGAACTTTCAAGCACCTCACATTTCAAAATATGATTTGATTGGTTAAGAGCCTATAGGAAAATGGAATTTAACTAAAACTATTGAAGAATAATGATAAACGGCAATTTTCTACATCTTTATCAAAGCATCCATGAAATTATGTATACAGCATCCATTATTAAGTATTAATCTTCCTTTATTATTTAAACAAAGATTTGTTTTGTGTAAAAAATGATAATTTTCTCAATATTAAAACTCACTGAGAATTTCAAGAAGTATCATTTTCAAAACATCATCAATTATTATAAAGGACCGCAATATTTATACTTTCCTTTCTACAAACAGGTAGAACAGCATCCAGGAATGTAATCAAGCAAGAAATTTCTTCCAAGTAGGAGACGGGCGATCTTTGCCACAAATTAGAGAGACATGACATTCTAAGATCATTAGAGGATCCAGAAATTTAAAATTTTTTAGAACAGGTGTTTCTGAGAGTAAAGCGCATTTCTAGGTTCTTTATATTTTTTTTGTTTCTGTTTTCAGGTGCTTTTCTACCGAAGTAGAGGAGAAAATCAAAGAAGGTGATGAAAATGTTGTGGAGGCTTTACAAGTGTTGCGTAGTACTTTAAAAGATGCTGTACAACAAAAAACTTACAAATTAGCTAAACTTAGGAAACAAAAGGAAGAGTATGATTTGGTCAAAGGACCGAAGTTCAGTGAGATGATTAATGAGTACAAACAACTAATGCTACTTTACAACTCTAAGAAAGAACTTCTTGATGGTCTCATGGACTCTCCCTCTTGTAAAAGTCACATCAGCAGCAGCGATGGCTCCTCCCTATAGATCTTGACGAAGATTCTGGAGGTGTTTTTTTTTCCGTACATCAGTTCTTCCTGCTCTCTTCAAGTCTGATAGTTTTCAAGGAAAAAATACTTAAATCTCTATTTAGCAAAAGCTAACACAAATTCAGAGAGATTACACATCTACATCCACCATGCATATCGATGGTGAAACTACAAAAGCACATATCTCAAGTACGTAATATTGAAGTTCAACATAAATCTCTCTTCACTGCCAAAAAAAAAGAAGAAAAAAATTAATATCAGCTGCAAATGGTTCCTTTGAAGTAGGATAACTTAATATTGAGTATTTGAAATTTCTTGAGTATTCTCCATTGAAAATTTATTCAGAGGCAGAGATGACGGATGTAAGGCCATTGTCTAGTGGTATTCTTAGCCTTTTAACAAACCAGAACATAATTTAATTTTGTCCCAGTTAAACTTGGGAAAAAATATTTTCCTCACATATATCTCAGTTATCTTTTATTTTCATGTGATGAGAGATGCCTCATAATTTATTGGTGTAAAATTTTTCTATTGGAAATGAATTTGAAATTACCTACGGCGACTTTTTAAAAGTCTGTTTAGTTGAAATTTGATTACTTTAATGGAATTGGATAAATGAAGGTATTCATATTTTTTACTTATTTTTCGAAGATTAATTTCAAGAACATGTGTAACAGTCTCGCATAGGTAGATGCATTTAATTTTATTTCTTTGCCATAGGTATATCAGGGAGAGGGAAATAATGAAACATAAGTTTGGGAAAGTATGAAATTCAATAAGAGAAGGATTTAGATGTAGTAAAATGGCATTAGCCTGTTTATTGAATTTCTTCAGGTTAAAAAAAGTCACAGATGAGGTCTTTTGTCCCAGTTTAATACCACTTTCATGATTCCGATTGAAACATGAGGATATTAAATAATTTGGGACTTCTTCCGTGCATATACTTCTTGCTTGTACATTGTTATCTGTTTCTTAAGTGTAATATTCGAGTAAAAAAATCAATATAATACATAAGTGATTTCTTTTGGTTTTTCTTTATGAACTTATTTACACATGAAGTTACATTAAAAAGGCTTTTACTTCTTATGAGATCAAGATTTCAATAAAACTGGGAGGGAGCTAAACAAGAATGTGGAAGTATTTATTTCTAAAGCAAGATTGAGCAGTTTTTCTGAAAAAAAAAACCTTTTGCTGCTTAAGTGTCGTCAGTAGAAAAGTCACCACTCAAAACTATAATTTTTACCTGTAATGATAGAGCTCTGATTGCAGTAGAATTTAAAATTGAAAAAATATATATTATAAAATGTATAGTTGATTCTTTCATCATTAGGACGGCTTATGTACAGACAGGAAAATGAATGAAAAAACTTAGCTCTTCACTTTGAGGCCATATTAGCGACTTTTCCCCATGTATTTTTAGATGCAAGAAAATCGGAGTTTAGCGGATTTAAGCCATTATAATTCATAAATTTCTTGGCTGCACTTACATCTCATTTAGATCAGACCTCTATTTTATAAATGTTTACAAGTTGTGGGTGAAAAATAAAATGGTGGACTTGCCGGCTTGCCCTCGTATTTACTCTAAAAAAATAAGGGAATGCACAGGGGAAATTTAGCAAAAAAAAAAAAATTATACCCTTTCATTTTTTATCCACTTCAAAAAAAGTATATTTCATATCTATACATTGATATTAATGACTGAGAACCAAAGCACTTGTGTGGAGAGTTAAACTTACAGGATATAATTTTTATTTTTAGTTTGTTTCTCACATTTTCCCACGAAACACTTTTGGCACATTTTTTAATTTGATAAAACTTTAAATACGGAAAATTTTTCCAAAATGAAGCCTTTAGATACAGGTTGTTAATGATGAGTTCAAGAATGTACTGATAAATTAGCCTGGAAAAGAGAATTTTGAAGGCTCAAGAGGAAATATGAAAGAGGTGGTTAAACAAGTAAATCAACTGACCCGCTGAGATCCTTTGAATCATTTGAGACCTTTCTTTGGGAGAGGGGATCTGAGTGTCTAGCGACCGATTTTTTTGAAGGAAGAAACTTGTCAAGTTGTGAGATAAGATTCACAATTCAAGGTTTCCAATATTTGAGGAGTATTTTTAAAGTAATCATGTCCATTATTTTTCACCCAAAAATAATGAAGACACAAAAAATTTGTTATGAAATGTCTTTATCACCATACCTACTCTCAGTTTTTCAAAATGCTGTTTTTTTTTTTAAAAAAGAAGTTGGTGCCTTGGTATCTTTAACTTACATCACTCGAAAACCAGTGCATCTAATTTAAAAAACAAGTTTTTGGAAAAGTTAAGAGCACAATGGTACAGATATTCTTTAGTTTAGTATCCAAAGAAAAAAAATATATGCTTCCTTTATGAAAGCCCCTTGAAAGACCATCCTTAGTACTAGAAGAATTCCTAAATTGCAAATGGATTTAGTTAATTTTTCTATGATAGAGGAAGGACAGTTGTAGATTATTCTAACTATGTTTAACTCAGCTTGATTTTAACAAAATTTCTTAGTGCTTTCCCTTAAAAGAACAATTTTCAAACTGCTTTTTTCAAGCATTTTAACTCCAACTGATGTAGTTGAACATTTGAGACGTTTTTAAGGACTTGAGTTATCATTATACCCTCATCGTGCAATTGTTTAGGTTGTTGCATTTGCAATGGTTCGGACATGAAAACTTAACAAAGAGGGATAATCAATACAGTGTTTAAGTAAGTGGTTGTATCAAGGAAAATGAGAAGAAATTTTCTGCAAAAAACCATATCTTATTGGTAAATTAGGGCTCTCTTGCTCTTCATCCGTGCAACCCCTGAGAAATGAATTATTCACAACTGTCAAATTCGATTAGCAAGCTCCGCAATTTGTACTTCTTGGCACAGCAAGACAGGTTAATAGAAAAACAAGTGCCTGAAATCATAGCTTCGTGCGAGCATTTTCAGTCTGATTCATCCAATTTTTAGGGAGGAAAGGCACGAGTTATTATTTTTCAAAATTTTAAGGTGATCCCCCTTGAGAGGGTTTTCTTGATTGCATGCAAGGGAGGTCCAATTTTAAGTACAAGATTTTTTTTTTTACAAAATTCAATGAAAATTAAACTCCAAAATCATACTACATGATCCTAGTTTTACAACGCTCAGCTTACTGATGTAGGATCATAGCATTGTCTGGAACGATTCTATTTTAGTAGGTAAACAGGGAGCAATAACGTTACTTCTGTCATTCCGTTAATCTTTTAGATTGTCTTTTAATTTAAGAACAATTGACTAAATCTCTATAATTAAAAAGAACTGTTTTCCATAATTCACACATTAGACTTTCATTCAAATTCCACCCAGCTAAGAGTAACAAGCAGTGACTTCAAAGATAGAATAGTGTTCCTGATAGTGTTTTTGACGATTGAGAATCAATGACACTCGAGCAGTGCGTTGAACACTAAAAATTAATCGGCACTTAAGTAATGAATTAAACAAGGGTCTAATTATTATAAGCTGAACTCCCCCAAAGATTTCTCCCTAGACACATTCCGAAATTTTCAGGGGCCTCCTATCTATCTTTTCAAAAAGCCCCAAATTATGAGTTTGTGTGGCTGTCAGTCTCTGAGGATTTTTTCAGAGGAGAATCTAAGATATGAGTATAGATGAGTTCAGTTTATAATAATCAGTGTACCAAACCCCACAGGCTCCAAATGCTTCTAAAAAATCAGCCATGGTCCTCAAAATATGAAGATTCAGGCCTAAAAATTATTACAATTCTGATTTCTCTGATAGGTGATTTTTTCCGAAGTTAGAGCTGCAAATCATTTGACCATACATCTTGCAAAAATTACTTATCACTAAATGCCCTTTAATACATAGGCAAAATTCAATTTGGCTCTAAATGAATCTTCAATAGCTCTTAAAAATTGTTCTTAAGAAATAGGCGGAAAGACTCCTGAAACTCAAGGGTGAATTTTGAACACTAGTAATCTGAAAATTACAAAATGAATCATTACATTTTCTGGCTGTCGATAAATTCGTTCTTAATACATTACTGGGCATTTAATAGCATGGACACTTGATACTTGGAGAGTTTTGCACCACCTTGATCGGCATTATTTCATAATTATATCTGGATTCCAAGTTTCTGAGCTCAATGGATTAACGGACGGAACACAATAATTATGAAGGATGCTAAGAAGTTGTGGTGCACAATCGGATTAAGTGACAATGGCTTATCACTTCTGTGAAACAAGTTTATACAACTTGAGTAATGTATAAATCATCCTTCTAAAAATACTCTCAGGTGATTTTTCAAGACGTAAAGAGATACTTAGTTCTCTTAACCATGTAAGTAGGTATACAAAAGTAAAAAATGAAGTAAGAAATTCTAGAAATGTTTTTGAAAAGTTGTGACATTCAACCTTTGATATAAAAGAGAAGTCACTCTGTAGGAACTGAACTGATCATACCATGCTCTATAAGAAAGTTTTCAATATCACCCGAGTAAAATTCATCACCGAGCTCATTACCAACTGATACGAAGTTTCCAATCAATTGACCACCTTTGTACACTAAAAGTGCAGGCACCCCTTCCTTCTTAAAATCCCGACTCATTCCTGCTGCTGAGCTTAGAAATCTACAGAACTTTACTTTTTTATACTCTTGACATAATGCCTTGAGTCCCTCATTCATGCTTTTACAGAGATTGTTGTTTTCCTCATAGATGTGAATGACAACAGTGACAGATGCATTCTCTTTTTCAATAGCATCCAGAAACTCGGCACCATTTTTGAGATCTTGAAGAGCTCCAAACGTAGGAATACCAGAGACTTTTGCCAACATTTCTTGCATGCACTGCTTCTGATACTGAAGGAGGAATTCATCGTTGAGTAAATCCTCAAGCTCAGCTTCAATTTGCTTGTCTTTTTCCTCTTCCAATGCTGTCTTACAAGTCAAAGTCAATTTCTTCATAAGCATAATCTTTTCTTGATCTTGTTCCTTCCGTCGCTCCGACTCTAACTGCTTGAATCGTTGCCAGTCTTTGATCACACCTTTGGGACCGGTATTCGAAGAAACTCCATCCCACTTGGAAGGTTCAACTGGGGCGCAGGGAGCTTGTGACATGCAGCTTTCCCCTTTGGGTGTTTCAGCTTCGTCACCAGATTCAGCTTCATTTTCAGATTCACTACTACTACAGTAATTTTGCGATTTCTCACCAAGTATTTTGTCTTCAAGAGTTGCCATGGCTGGAAAACTTCCCGCAGAAACTAGGAGCAAACCAATGGATCAGATTCGAGGCAGCTTTAAAACTATCGCTAGGTGATTAAGAGGGAGTGAAACACGTTGCACTTTTATACAGAGATCATGGAAAGAATTGTTTCACATGCGCATAAAATGATTTAATGTGAGTGATCTTAGTCCTCTAAAATCTAAAAACTAACACAGTGTTATCAAAATCAGAAACTCGGAACACCCAGCCAGAACACCCCACTTATCAATCAGCTGATCGAAACCCCAAAAGGGCCGAAATTCCACCGTTCAACGAACCCCTACCGGTAGATTCACCCTAACCTCAAACAACAATAACAACGGTAGTGGGTAGTGGCAGCTAGAGTAGTGGCAGCATGTGAAAGGACTTGTGATTTTTCTCTTATACTTTCGAGTAAATATTAATTGTCAAGTATGACAAATAGAAATAATAATTAGTATTGTTAGGCGTGTGATGTGTTTATTTCAATCCCATCCTCGCCTCTAACGGTATCCTACAAAATGTCCGACAAGAGTAAAAACCTACCCAGCAAACAGAGTTTGAAAAGTCGAACTCTCCAGTGCAAAAACCTGCATGAGTATTTAAAAACTTTAAATCCTAGCACTTTGGATAATCTATACAATCACCCAACAACTTGCCTAGCGGTTTTCAGGTTTGTTATGCTTTTCTTTATATTTTCTCCTAGATTTATCTCTGCAAACTTTGCGATCATGGTAGCCTTTCCTTCGAAGTTTTACCGCTTTAGCAATCAGTTTCACACACCGTAATGATGAAGATCAAGCATGCCGATGGTGAAACATCCAAACTTTACATCTTGGTTTGTGACGCTGTAGACATCCCGCCATTATTTATTTTTTAAATGGAAAACTCCTCAATGTCAACTCTTTATAACCTCCATAATTTTCTTTCTCTGTGTGAAGGAAATTCTGTGAAAACTTTCAGGAATGATGTTGATTTCTGCTCCTTTAAAAATGAAATAAGTGCTGAGTTTCTTTAACACCACAAATATTGAGTTATGTGGTACGGAAGTTTCATCATTGATGTGTATAGGGACAGTTACCAATGGAGTGCGTGTAGACTGAAGGGGTCTAATTAATGTTTGCAAAGTACACAAAATGGAAAAAAGCCCTGCAGTTACAATTCAATTGAGATCATCTTATATCAAGTCAGATCATCAAAGAGATGTCTCTCCTCTGAGTTTGATTAAGTTGATTACACACTTCAGAAAGTAAATTTTAAAGTTTTTGACCATGCAGTTGTCGTCATTATCATTGGCGGATCCAGGAAGTTTGCAACATTGTTTTCACACCATTTAAACCTCTAGAAATTCTCGGTGGGTCCAGGTATTCCGACAAGAATCGGTTATTGAACCTAGGTTTCAATGGAGAAAAGTCAGTGTTGCCAACCTGCTGGATCCTCCTTTGCTCGTGTACAAAATTTGATTTAACTCAGAAAGTAAGTATGCTCCGAACGAATAACACAAATGGAAAGGCAATACAACTAGCAATGTTCACTTTGGACATATTTTCAAAGCTAATTCCAAATCTTTTTTGTTGAATTTGTAAAAAATATCTGACCCACTCCAGTGGGATGTAATGCTTGGAAATTTCTAAGAATTGTCCCAAAATCCAGAAAATATTCATGGATGGATCTAATCAAATCGTTCTCCACAGTGCGGAAGTAACACCCGAAGTTGCTGCAAATTCTTTCTTAAGGAGAGATATAATAATTAAATCAAACGGACAGGTTATTTATGTAGTCCTGCTCTCGATTCTGAACAAGCAGTTTAAACTTACTTCAAATAAAAATGAAATTAAAATATTGGTATGTGGTGTGTACCCTTCGACATAAGCATGATAGCTAGATGGCAGCTCAATGAAATGTGTCTGTTTCATTTTTTCAGGGAATTACCTCATGAAGCTAAGCATTTCGTCATTCGTCTTCTGTTTGTGGAACAACCGGTTCCCCAAGCAGTGATTTCCTCTTGGATTCCCCAAGCCTTCGTCAAGTAAGTCATTCTGAATACACTGTTTTCCTCCGAATTAAGTTTTACCAATTGGCTTCAATAAAACTCTGATGTGAGGGTCCAAAAAGTTTCAAGCTCTCTCCCAAATTCCTTTGACCTCCCCTGTTTTTAAATAGTTTCTAAATTCGGTCCTTATAATTGAGTCACATGGAAAAATAAAACCTAAAACCTCTTTCTCTTGGTTCGAACTTGAATTTACTTAATGCACTTTGGTGCATTTCTGATAAACCCAGTACAAGTGTATGTCAGGAGGTTTTCAGTAGGCTTATGACCATTGACTTAAAAGGATAATCAGTCCATAGAGAAAAAAAAGGAGGTGTTTGCATCTCGAGGTTTGTTTACCCTGTGATGTAGGTCGGTACAACCTGGCTAGCGAAATCTGGAATCCGAAGTATGAAAAACGGACCGTAATGTCCCATTTTTTCGCTTAAATCAACTCATGATATAATTTCAAGCACTTTTTATAGAATGACTTTTTTCCATAAATTACACCATTTCCAAGAAAATCGATGATAAACGTTGCTGTACCGACCTACGTCATCAAAAAAATTCCAAGATGCCCGAAATGCAAACACCTCCTTTTTTCCCTCTATGTAATCAGTCAGGTGCTCCATCACTCTGGGAGCTGTAGTAGTATTTGAATAAAATCCAATGCAAGTGAGTCAGAAGTGTTATTTCATTTAAACCGTAACTAAAAGCTTGAGCCACCCTCCTTAATAATAGGTACCTAGACTCTGAAATCTTGAGGGTTGGCTGTCTCTTTCTCTATCATCTATCACATCAAGTAGTTTGTCGGTGATACTGAATTTTATTTTTAAATGTTGATTTCTGTATCATTTCGGGCTAACCATTTCCTCCTCCATTACCATTTTGATAGTTATTGTCACTCTTTGTTACTTTTTGTAACTGCTCACTCATGATATCATTTCAGAGAATTGACCGCAGCCACAAATACCCTCAGTGAGCTGCGGGTTTGGCATGGAGCACCTATTCCAGGGGGGTTACCTGGCTGGATTCTCAATCCGTCTTTCAGGAAAAATTTACAAAGCGCCTTATTAGGAGGGTAAGTAAACTCCATTCTTGACACCCAGTGCAAAACGTATTTATGTGTGAAGAATTATAAAGTAAACTAGTAGATGTTACCAAGTGAGTTTTCAGGGAAAGAACAGTAAGCTGATTTCACTTGTTGTAATAGGGAGTTGGAAATAGGGTCATCAATGATTTTCTCACATAATAGCACAGATTGCAACGTTGGCTCTCGTTTATGATGTTTGGAAACCATCTTCCAAAAAAAATTGAACAAGTCTCCATTGTTATTGGAAGTAAAACCTAGCGTTAGGACAGATCTCATTATTTTTTGCTAAACCATAAGCTTAAACCATGAAAATGAGGTTCTGTGATTAGAGCCTGCGCATCCTACGTTGAGGCAAGCGCTAATCTCTGATTAGCTCTGAATTAGCACCACTCAACAGGTTGTCTCAGCATATGATGCGCAAGCTCTAGCACCAAGGACCCATCATCAATTTCTGTTAATTGAACATTCAACATTTAGAGGGAAACCATGGACTCTGTCGGCTCAGATGGAAGAAGACACGAAACCAAGAGATATTAAGTTCCTAGATGATTATGCAATGGAGCGGTGGGAGTGTGTCTTACATTACATGGTTGGCTCTCATCAACAAGAGGGTATCTCTGCAGATGCTGTGCGTATTCTTCTCCATGCTGGTTTGATGAAAGGGTAAGTCACGTTTAAATTATATTAAAGTAAAGCTAACTGAGTTTTTGTCCATCTTGTCCAATATTTAAGTGAAAAGACCATTCAAAAACCAACGTTCTTGTATCGCCAATTTATTTCTCATTATTATATCAAATAGAATCAACTTCTCATGATTTAGATTAACATTTTCGTTTAAGGTATGTTTGCCTCAGCAGCTATACTGTCAAATTGTTTTTTGACAGGTATTTCTTGTGTCGCTAAGCACAAGGTGTTTTGAAAATAACCCGGAAGAAATAGTTTTTTTTTCCATGTTAACAATCATACTGATACCTTTTGTAATATTTTTTTTTATTTGTGCTTTTAGGGATGAGGAGGATGGGAGTCCTATCATCACCAAAGAAGGTTTCCAGTTTTTGCTCCTAGATACTTCGGCTCAAGTGTGGTACTTTATTCTGCAATATTTAGACACTGTCAATGAAAGGGGCTTAAGCCTAGTTGAATGCTTAACATTTCTGTTTCAACTTAGTTTTTCCACTTTAGGAAAGGTATACTCTTCTTATTTTTCCCTCCTTAATTTCTAAATGTTGTCGCATTAATTTCCTTATCTTCAACTCAAAATTAAAACACTATCAGTATAATGAGTATTAAGAAAGACCCCACACACTTCTTATGGGAATGTGTATCTTGACTGATCTTTCATTTTTTAATTGCATTCAACCCGTCCATGGATGCTGATCAAAAGTCATCATTGTGCCAACTTTCTGTCAGCCATTGTTTTCGCGTTGAAGCTTATTTTACTCAAAATTAAATCATGTAGAAGGGTTGCAACACCTTGAAAGATAACGTGCTTAAGGAATGAAGGAATGCCCTCTAAAAATCTTTTTTATCTCTATTAGCAATAGCTTCATTTAGTTAAATCACTCAGTTGTCGTCCTTCTCCACTAATGTTGGAAAAGTTCTCCAGCCTCAACAATTGTTGGGACAACTCCATAATTTTTATGCAGCTACTCAGTTATGCGTTCAATAAATTTAAAAAAATGCTTGGAATTTTCTTTGTGTCTGTAAAATCCAACCTTTTTTTTCTTTTGATCTGTTCTAGGACTATAGCACTGAAGGTTTAAATGAAAAACTTCTCATATTTTTACAACATTTAAGAGAGTTTGGACTTGTCTATCAAAGAAAGGTAAGACAGTTTCAATATGTGTGATTGTAATTCTTACTTAAATGTAACATTTAGCCTATGAATAGCTCTTTTTTAATGACTTTGGGGAAAAAGTTCTGCTTAATCTGCCAACTGTGGACGTTTTATGTGAAATGTGAAAAATGTCGAGGAAAAAACCAGTACTTATGTAACATTTGAAAATAAGGGGTGCTTGATGAGTATTGCACTTTTAAAATCAACGCTCCTTTAATTTATGTTCTGTTCTTGCTGTAAGGAAATCTTTATACCACATGAAGGTTTTGTCTCTCAGTGATTCTGAAAAAGATAGAGAAAAAATAGCATATGTCCTAAGATAAAACGGATACAAAAATCGGAACAGGGAATGATAATCAATAAATGTATTTGTTCATGGGTTGTTTTCATGATGATGGTTATGGAAAGCTTTGAATTTTTCTTAAGGTTTTATATAGAGTTTAGTTTCTGATTCTCCTTTGGTTTCAGCGGAAAGCAGGCAGGTTTTATCCCACTCGATTAGCTCTGAATCTTGCCACCTCTCAAGTGCAGCTACAAAATGATGCAACCCAAGCAGTAGAAGGATATCTTGTTGTAGAAACCAACTATCGAGTCTATGCTTACACAGATTCAAACCTAAAAGTCGCTTTGTTGGGTCTTTTTGCAGAAATGATGTACAGGTAATTTTCTTATTTTTACTTTATTAGTTTTTTTGGCGGCAATATGCTGGAAACAAATTCCTCCAGCCAAAACCAAATCTGTTTTTTATTTTGTTTTTTAAGTTGAGAAGTGTTGTAAAAAATCCATAATATGCACTCTTCAAGCCTGCTGTGTTTATGAAATTGGCAGGAATGCCTGAAATAACATTCATATTGCCCCTCAGGAAAACCTGATAGATGATAACACTCACCACGGTAGCATATCTCTCTTATTTATGCACAAGAATCAATCACTGCAAATGAGGTACATTTCTGAACAATGAGAGAGAGAGAGAGAGATAGAGAGAGGTAGAAGGAAACCTTTGCGGTGAATGATGTCAAGGACGCCGTTTTCTTAGAATGATATATTTGCTAATTTTTTAAATAGTAACTTGGTCTCTTAGGCAGATAACCCTACCTTACAAGCTGCAACCTTCTAAACTTGATCCTCTGAAGAAGTCATTAAAAACCATTTGAAATTCCTTGATGTTTGACCAAAAGAGCCATGCACAAAGTGGCCCATTTTTGGGCCCTCGAAATTGGGGTCGAAGTGAGGTTTTTTTTCATCCTGAGGGTGACCCTTTACACATACTAAAATTTCAGATTGAGTATACGCACCGTTTTCGAGTTATGGGAGGGCAAAGTCCCCGATTTTCACCCATTTTTGCAGGTGTTTTAATGTCGAACTCCGGCTGTTACGAGGTACCAGATCTAGATATTGAAGCGCGGTTTGCGGTGATTTGTTCTGCTATTCCTGTAGTATTTTTCCACATCTTTCACAAAGCCCCAAATGGTTTTTCGGGGGGCGGGGAGGGGGGCTTTATTCATACTATCATGACAGTTAGCGCAACTTACTGACTTTACTTTGTTCTCTTCTCTCCACGCCGAGGTCACGATGGTATTTTCCGTTGGGGATTTTTCTTCTTCTTCACATTTTACCATTTTTCATGTCCTCCCCCTCTTTTCCCTTTTTTACTTCCTCCCCCGCAATCCAAACACTTCCTCTCAAGTGCTTCTTCCTGTAAGGCAGATACGACGGGGTCATAAATGGGGGATTCTTTTCCTTTCATTACGATTGATAAACTTTGACCCAACTTACTTCTCCCTTACAGGGCCCTCCTTACCCCTGTATTATCCCCCCCCCTGCCCGCTCCACTTTACTTGAAGTATTTTCCTCCCTCCGCAGCAGAAATGACGATTTTTCCTGTGAAGAATTGTTTCTTATTCATATTTTTCACGTTTCTCTTTCCACTTCTATGTTTGATTTATTCTTTCCAAGGTGCATTCTCTTCCACTTTCTCTTCGCATGACCATATTACTCCCACAAAAAAGGAGTAAAAAGTAGAAGAAAAGTGAAAAGTAAAGAGAACAAGGCAAAAGAGGGACAAACAAGAGGGGAAGGGGAAGAGGAAGAAGAGGGGAAATAATGGAGAAGAGTAGGAGGGTGGCTCCCATGTATTCAGTATTTCAGTACCTGAACATAAGTAAAACATTATTTGCGAGAAACATTGTCATTTCTGCTGCGGAGGGAGCAATATACTTCGGAGCAGAGCGCGGCGTGGAGCAGGCAGGGGGGAGGGGATAATACAGGGGTAAGGAGGGCCCTGTAAGGGAGAAGTAAGTTGGGTCAAAGTTTATCAATCGTAATGAAAGGAAAAGAATCCCCCATTTATGACCCCGTCGTATCTGCCTTACAGGAAGAAGCACTTGAGAGGAAGTGTTTGGATTGCGGGGGAGGAAGTAAAAAAGGGAAAAGAGGGGGAGGACATGAAAAATGGTAAAATGTGAAGAAGAAGAAAAATCCCCAACGGAAAATACCATCGTGACCTCGGCGTGGAGAGAAGAGAACAAAGTAAAGTCAGTAAGTTGCGCTAACTGTCATGATAGTATGAATAAAGCCCCCCTCCCCGCCCCCCGAAAAACCATTTGGGGCTTTGTGAAAGATGTGGAAAAATACTACAGGAATAGCAGAACAAATCACCGCAAACCGCGCTTCAATATCTAGATCTGGTACCTCGTAACAGCCGGAGTTCGACATTAAAACACCTGCAAAAATGGGTGAAAATCGGGGACTTTGCCCCCCCATAACTCGAAAACGGTGCGTATACTCAATCTGAAATTTTAGTATGTGTAAAGGGTCACCCTATGGATGAAAAAAAACCTCACTTCGACCCCAATTTCGAGGGCCCAAAAATGGGCCGTTTTTGGCCCTTTTTGTGCATGGCTCTTTGCTCCAAAGATTTTACATAAGCTATTCTATTTTCAGGTTTCCGAACTTGAGTGTAGGATTACTTACCAGAGACTCAGTTCGAGCAGCATTACGCAGTGGCATCACTGCTGAACAAATCGTTGGATTTCTGCGGTTGCATGCTCATCCTAAACTGCTTGCCAACAATCCAGTTCTTCCTCCAACAATTGTTGATCAAATCAAACTGTGGGAAAATGAGCGAGATCGCTTTACATTCACAGACGGTGTTCTTTACTCACAATTCCTCTCGCAGTCAGACTTTATCACTCTAAGAGATTATGCCCAAGAGCTTGGTGTCTTAACATGGCAGAACGAAAAAAAGAGGACAATGGTCAGTATCTTACCATTTTTTTTTGCTATTGTAATTGTTTCATGTTTGAACCAGTTCAACATCAATGCTTCTCTGACGGTTTGAAAACATCCAAGTATCAATTAGAGGAAAATGAAGGGTGGCAGCTTCAATGAAAACGTAATTTTGTTGTAAAATAAATTGCTATAAGTATGAAACGGGTTACGTTCGCAAATTTTGATTTGAATTAATTGAATTGATTTTGAAAATTGAGCTCGTTTTTCGTGGATTGGTATTGTTAAAAAAAATCAGGGAAAATTCCAATGAATTCTCTGCACTCTCTAAGTTTTCAGAAATGCAGGAATTAAACATCACTAAAAAAGCTCATTACACAGGTACGTGTACCCACCAAGTTGGTCTTAATTCTTCAATGCATCACTCACTTGCTTCAATGACAGCTGTGCACCTATCATTAGTTTCATTTGACAACTGATCAAATTTTATCCGAAAACTTTTGTCTTTTTCAGGTTGTCACAAAAGAAGGTCATGATGAGGTGAAAAAGTTTTGGAAAAGACTCTCAAAAAACAGTAGCTAACACTAAAATAATCATCCCTTTTATGACAAATTAGTCAAAAGCATAAGTTCATAACACTTCTATGTGATCCCTGCGTGTGAGCAGCGACTCTGGTTCACTCTCGCAATATTGAAGAGCAGAGTACGAAACTATGTCCCTCTGTTTCTGACGTTGCAGACTTCTTGTCATACTTCAATTTTTCCCAGGAAAATTAGTCGATGTGATTTTTTTGAAAACTTCCTTGATACTTCTCCTCTATGAGCAGAGTATATTCTGTATTAATTTAAAGCTATGAAGTCAGCTTGTTTCTCCTCAAAAATATAAAATAGGAGGGTATATTTTGAAGTATTACAATGGAGATATGCTGTTTTGCACTTTGATCATCGATTTTGTGCTTGAAAGATCACACAAGGTAGAGTTGCCCTCTCTATTTTAGTGTATTTTTGGAAGGAAATGTACTATTAAGTTTTTTTATTTTGTGGTTTGTAAGGTGATTTAAAGTATGGCACTGAGGGCAAAAATGGTTGCAAAAAGTCTTGCATCAAAATCAGAGGATATCTGTGTCACATTGCATCTTGACTTCTACAAAATATGTTAATAGTGACAGGATCCAGCAGCCTGATTGTTGAAATTTTTTGTTTGTCGGGACGACATAGATGACATAAGTTAAAAGGCGAAGCGTGATTGGTCGGCTATGTCTCATTGCTGCTTTGTCGTGCCTATGTCGGGTTGACCTCTCGACAAGCTAACGGCACCTCATTAGTTTCCGACAGTATGTCGATCATTCCACCTGACAAAGGCACGATAAAGCTGCGATAAGACATAGCCGACCAATCACGCTTCGCCTTTTAACTTATGTCATCTATGTCGTCCCGACAAACAAATTTCAACAATCAGGCTGCAAAATTGAAATTAAAACGATTAGTCTTTTTTGTAATCTTTAATTTCATCCCACTTATCTTATCTGCTTTTTCTTAAAAGAAAGTTTCATGAAAATCTACTGAAATTTTTCAAAGATCTTTACTCAAATTAAACTTACTTGAGGATTGTTTCTACTGATGGTGGATATCATATTTTGTAACAAAAGCAGGTGCATCGTTAGAAATGTATGTAAACCAATATTATGTTTAAAATTTTCGTTGATCACTCGCCAAGCCACATAAATCATTGTGTTTTCAGCTCACTCAGTCATGCAAAATTATGTAACAAGATAATTTGCTCAGCTCATCCACAGTGTAGTTGGGGGTGAAAGAAGTAAGGCAAAAGTACGCTTAGCCTCTTTTCAGCGGATTCAGATTAGATTAGCAGCAGCGCTGGGTCAGTTAATTTGGTAATATTGTTCTTCGTTTGTAACCAAACTTTGGTTACTGGTAGAACTCATCTTTGGAAATTGCAACAGAATTTCTATGAATGGAGTGCTGTAGGCAAGGGTGCAAAGCCTAAGCAATCCAAATCCAAAGCAAATCGGACCATTCAGTTGGTCGCAGGATTAACTTTAGTGTAATGTGGAAACTGTCACCTCCAATAACCATACATTAGTAATCAAAGAAAGTCATGTTGCAATGGTGCTCTTGCATGCAACATGCATAAGGGATTTGTAATTTAAGACTACATATATACAATTTTGCGAGAAACATGATGGTGCCACTGAATTTCTCTAAGATCAACTCCAAAGCTCAATAAAAGCTGTCAGAGATGAAGCTGTAATTAAGGGGATACTCCGCGCCACCCTGAGAGTCCACCTCTATATCAAGACAAACTCTCTGTGCAAAGATAGGGAGCGAATACATCAGCAGCAGAGTTGCCGTGTCTTTAGTTTTTGAGTCCTGAAACAAAGTGGCAACCCTGCTAATGTAATTGTTCCTTATCTTTGCATAGAGAGTTTGTCTTGATATAGAGGTGGATTCTCAAGTTAGCGTGGGATATCCTCTCCATTATGGCCTGAGCTTTGAGAGCCTTTTTTGAGCTTTGGAGTTGATTTCAGAGAAAATCAGTGGCACCATCGAGTTTCTGGCAAAATTGTCCACAAGTGTAAGTATTTAAATCGAAAATTCCTCACACATGCAAGAGCTTTATTCTAAACCAATTTCGCATTTTTTGAAGATCAGTAATCTCACCCTTTGTTATAAACTTTGAACTCTTCGTTAGTTAACAAAAATTAAAATTTAGGATTCCCTGTATCAAATGTAGCTGAGATTCCTTCTGTCAAATGCAATTGGAGTTCCTTCTGTCAAATGAATAATTTCACTCTCATCATTTTTTTCATGTTAAATTCAAAACTTCTGATCTCTGTTTTAGATTATCAAGAAATGTTTGTTCAGTGTCAAGAATTGATGTAATATATAATGTTTTTTAACTTTTTTTTACAATTTTTTTTCACAATCTTTTTATTGTAATGAAGTTTATATCTTACTTTAAATATCCCTCATTCTCAAATTCACAGTTGAACGTAAAAAATTAAGGTCTTTTTTTTCACCATACATATCGAAGATGAAACTCCCAAACCAGGTGTCTCGTTGGTGGTGTTTAAAAATCTCTGCTCCTGTTTTATTTTTTTAAAGAAAAAAAGAAAGAGAAAAATCAAAGAAGCTTTTAAGAATTGGAATTGAGCAGTTCACCTTTTAAAAAATGAAGTATGACAGGAAACCTGCAACGTCGCCAACCAAGCAACTGCAATTCAATTTAATATTTATTTATTTCAATGACACAACAACATTCCTATTACAACTACAGCTCTGCCCCCTCTCCCCCCACCAGGAGCATGGATCGAGTGGTAGGTGTCAACTTATCCATACAGAACTCAGGTTGATAAAATGCATAAACAAAGAAGTCAGTACAGAGATATAGAAAATCTTCACAAAGCGTAAATAAAAATAAGAAAATAGAAATAAAATAATATAAAATAAAAATAGTCATAGAAGCAAAAATAGAAAATAAAAATATAGCTAATATAATGAACTTTTTTCTTTTTCTTCTCTCTGTGGCAAACTGCATACTGATGTAACTTTAAACTTCAAAACTGCAAAGTATAGATACAGAATCGTTTCAGTAGTGTTGTAAAGTTTAATCGTAAGCCTCAATGGTAGGTAAATAAATTTTGCTGTTGACACGGCACCACCACTTGGTTTTGAAGTTTCACCATCAAAGCGTTTCATATACTTACTGTGATTATTAGTTGACCTTGTGGAAATTTTAGTCAAACCTGAAAGATTAATAAACTCTTCTGTGTTCAGAAATAGCTCCTCCATCAGGCAGCAGCAGATTTACTTTTATTTGTTGCGTCCTTTTCATCAGGACGAAATCTACAATTTTGCCACCCAAAGTTAACCAAAATTTGCCTCTCGTAGCAAGCTAGCTAGCTCTAAACTATTAAGGAAGGCAACCTGGATTGCATTTTGCAATGAGGATCCACATTTCTTGCTCATTTTAGGAACAAAATGTGTGCCATTACTTAGTTTCCCTATGAAGAAGTTAAAATTTTTAAGTTAAAGTATTAAATTAGCAAATTAAATTAGTTTCCCCAGGTGCTTTTATGGGTGGGCTAAAATCAAAGTTTAAGACTTTAAACATTCATTGCAAAGTTAAGTTCAACAGAAAAAGTGCTTTTTAAACTGTGTCTAGTTTTTCTGCTTCATTTTTCGTATTTGGCGCATTGGCGCCAATTGCATTCTAGTTCACGAATAGACTGCTTCGAGCGCCACCGTCGTTTTGTTTACTTGTTCACCCCTAACCTGTAAATAATCATGTCCCACAGGCCCAACCTTTGACTTTGAGTCGTTTCAAGTGAACTATACTTTTTATATTCTCGCTCCTTTTTTTCTACAATTGTAATTTGAAGGCAAAGGGATTCCAGTCTTCTACCAATTGGCATCGTAGCTGTTCATAGAAGAGAAGTTTCTGCTTGACTGCTGTATCATTCAAGGTTTGATTTTTTGTGCAACTTCCTTTTCAAGTTGTGGATCATCAGGCGTTCTGAAATTGAGAAGGTTTCTTACCGTTCTTCCAATCGAGGTCCACTAACGTTTTAAGGCATGATTTTCAAACTCACAGGGTTGAGGACCTTCATAGATAAATGTAATATTTTTCCTTTTGGAACATGACGATCAACCATTTCTCCCTCTCAGCTCAGCTGAAGCATAGACGAAGGGAATAAATATTCTAAAAAAAAGAGAGAAGAGAAAATAAATATTTACTCTCTTGATCCATGGCTGAAGTGCACCAAGGACCTACTGATCAAACTTGATGGTATTTAAGCAATGGTGAAGATGCAAGTTTTATCATGGGCTGAATACTAATTTTGCGATCCTCATCCAGAGATGCTCATTGATTAACCTTTGTGTAATCATAGCTTGTTTATGCAGCCCAAACCAGGTTGACGAGCAGTTGATCCAGACTTGAGACCGGTATTGTATCTTTAGCTTTGCATCAGAAGTATTGTGTGAATGCTTAAACCTGTTTTGAACGAGAATTGAAATGAATCCACACCTCAAAAATTGCACTTTTCTGTACTAATAAAATGTAGGATAAGCTTCTAACCGGGACTAGAATGAAAGTACAAACCTCCAATTTAATCTCCACCAGAAGCCAATCGGATTAAGGGGATTCTATTGATATTTTACCCCTTCCAGCAGTGTAGGCCCAGTTTTAAACTAATTTCTTGTTTGGAATAGAAAAACCAAGTTACTTAATTTTTAATAATTCTTTTTTTAATCTTGCAGTATGGGCAACCGCAAAGAGAGATATTACAAAAAGAAAAGATTCATCCCCAATCGTCGCGGATGCAAAAGGTAAGAGAGCTCTATCTATGAACAAGACTGGACATACAAATACAAAACGGACGTTTCAAAGTTTGCCGAATGCTTGTTGTTATTGGCTCAATTTTTCTGTTCTGTGGGAGCTATGATCGTTCTGTCAGGTATTCGATTTGTGAAAAGAGCCATTCGGAGGAGAGGAAAAGGGCACACATTTTTCAGTATGTTGAAGAATCTGATCGTAGCTGAAAAAAAATGATTTAACTTCTCACCACAGTTTCTCTCTATTGAAAGTTAATTGACTCTGAAGAAGCCTTAACGTTCTGGAGAAACCTATCTTGTGAAAGGGCATGAGAATAGTTCATATTTTTCATTGATGCATTCAATCATAATTCTGTTTTTCTTTTCCAACTTGTCATATTTATCTTAAAAAATACTAATGCAGGGAACCAGTAAAATTTTTCTATAAGGCCCTGTAAGGCAAACTCCCCTATTTAAGTTGCCTACATATTACTTGAATGGTCCACCCCTTTGAATTAAAAATACCTCTTATGCGATCAAGAATGCCATTAATACGTCCAACTTTCTAATTTTTTTTCAGGCCAAAAAATAAATTGGTCAATAATGAGCAGCAGCAACCAAATTCTGAGAACTCGTCCTTAGACAGAGAAGCAGCAGAGACGCTGAGAGCCACTGAAGAATTAGAAGAATCGAATAAGGGTGAAATTCAAGGAGAGGTCAGGTAGGATTCTCAGTGTAGCTTAGATAGAGCTAAATACACTATTCTCCTCGTTTTTCATGGAATTTTGTGGAATGCTTTAATGGGTGAAAAGTAGTGTTAAAATAATACAAATTTGCAAAAACTGAGAAAATTATACAATTTACATATTTTTTTACAAATTTTGTTCGTTTCACACCTTTTCCATACTTAACTGCCTTCCATGTGTTAGTGTCGAAAGTCTGAGCTCATTTTCAGTATCTTAATATTTTCCACTAAAAAAAATAGGAAAGTTGCGGTATGATACCTCGCAAGGCACCTAAGAATTGCATTACTCTCAACATTCCTCCACAATTTACAGTTTTCTTGTCTTTTTCATTTTATACTTGTGTATTTGTTTCCCACAGAATACCAGACCGTAAAATATTTCCCTTTCCTTCCTTAGTCCAAGGCAGTTATTGTTGTGTTGATGTATTTTTTTTTATTCCTGCTAAATTATCAATTTTATCTGACAGCAAAGTATAATGTTTTTGTAACTTTTCTAATTCTCCAGCAAAACATCTGTCAGAGTGCACCAAGAAACCGCATCAGTTAGCAAAGAACCGCTTGTTCGAAAAATGACGATGGCTGAGTTAACCAAGGAGTTCCCAAATCTTGCCCGAGTTGCTACAAAAGTATTTACAAAGCAAGGATTCTCGTTAAATAAAACTCCTAAAGTCTCCAAACCTGACAGTGTGCCTTCAAAAGTTCAACCTAGTCACAGCCCTGAGAAAAATGGGCCAGATCCCCCAGCAGAATGCCCAAGCACAGCTCAGTGTTCAGATAACACTGATACAACGGCAGAGTGGTCAGAACTAATGAGGAAGTAAGTAGATAGGTATTTTAGTCTCCCAAGAAAATAAACCTGAGGAGGGAGGTCTTCCATTTTCAGGAACTGAAACAGTCAGGAACAACTAGAAAGATAAACTTCAAACTATGAGGTAGGCTACATACTGATGTTCTGTTTCTCAGACAGAATTTACTTGAAAGCAAGCAAAAGCCATGTTGTATGTGGGTGCAGATAACCTACACGAATTTGTCTAACTTTTGTAGCCAAAAATCCCAGTGCAAGTTATCTATATGTGGGAATTATCTTCAGGTGCCTGCAGTACTTGAATAATGAGTAACCCAAGCCAAGGATACTTCTCTATCAGGATTTGCAAAGGACCAGGTGAAAGAAATAGAATAGAGCTTAATAGCGGAAGGAAAGAGCAATGGGCCTGGTGGAGATTTTTGAAGAGTGGCCAATGGAATGATTGATTTGTCTGTTGTGAGTGCCCTTTGAAGCAATTGCCTTATGGGCTTTGTTGAAAATTTCCAGTCAAGCTAGATTAGAGGAGTTAATTGCTGCATGACATTGCACTACCTCCGATCTGACTCTTCCCAGTATTGCTCTTTCAATAGCTTACCTATTTGTCAGTAGATGTCATAGAGATAAATATATATGGGTTATCCTGCAGGACACGTCTCTCAGCAAATAGTACAGATTTTTACTAATAAGTAACCCTTTTTTCTTCTTAAATCGTTAAAACAACCGCCCTGAAGGGCACAATTTGATTTCTTGTTTTCCTCTAATGACTTTTATTTCCAAACAGGCAACAAGAGGCTGAACAACACCAGTTAACAGTGGAGCGTTTCCATGTAGCAGGCAATGATCCAGGGATAAAGAAATTGTTGGGCCGCCGCATTGTAGACATTCAACATATTATCACAGAGGCTCGAAAGTTAGAGGGACATGAATGCAGAATAAAACCAAACGTTGGTTACTTCTCCTTCTCACACGAAGTGCGGTGTGGTCTACAGTCAATTCTTTGTTTCAAGTGCACTGAATGTGGAATGCAGCGTAACATCCCAACAACAGCTGGGAAATCAGATGAAATAAACTCTGCAGGAGTTAAAGCCATAACAGCAATGGGCAAGGGCCATGAGCCTTACAAACGGTTTTTGAGGACACTTGCCATTCCAGAGCCTACGTACGGAACTTTCAAGAAACATCAGGACAGATTAAAGCAGGTATGAAATGGATTTAAAGTTGATGATTAATTTTAGCTTGGATAACACCTCTTTGTTATTGAAGGAAAAAATTAAGAAGTTAACTTGTTCCTTGCCAATGTGTTTTTGTTTAGTTGTTCTTATCAGGTCAGAAACACAGGAGATGTGATAGACTTTAAAAATTAGCGGGCATTTCTATCTTCTTTTTTTCTGTATTGACTTTGTCAAAATACAAATTAATGAGAATATACATATTTGATACTAAACAAAAAATGAATGAAAAGTAAGGTGACATCAACAGGGGTAGATTATTTATGATGGGTGGCCTTCGAGATGTAGACCAAAGAAAAATTCTGTTTAGGAAAAAATGAGTGTATTCTCCTATTCCTATTTTTTTTCATCACACTTCGAGGGCTCAATTTTCTTAGATATTACACAGGAGAGTCCTCCCTCCCCTCCCTGAGTTGAAATTAAATATTCCCGGGACATGATACGCAACGGTTAATGATGCTTGTTGAGTGATGTTTTCCTAACCTCAAATTCCTCACCTTTGTTTTGGTAGCTGTTTTTCTAGTTCTTTCTTATCAATCTCCCCATCCATTTCGCCTGTTCGGTTATCAGTAGAGTGCTTTTTTTACCGTTAATATGTAAATTCACTGCACGAAGACTCTGCCTGTATTCTCTAAAAATACATACCTTTATTTTTCATAATAATCTCAGTGCATCTCAAGACAGAATTATCTCAACTACCCATCTCCCTCACCTCATAAGTAAGATTACTCTGTATCTTTAAATCTTTTCATTCATCAGTGAAAATTGGGTTGTTTCTCGAGCTTCTCTTCTATTTGTTTATCACAGAAGCATCTCGCATAAGAACTAAATTATAGTTCATAGGTTTTTGCCGTGCTTGATAATGGATGATATCGATACAAACATCAATTTCACGAAGGAAGTAGTCACAAGAATTACCACCCAAATACATACCTATCAAGACTAAACAAGCCACCTTGCATTTCTCTTCTTGTTGGGAGAGACCCACCAAGGAGACTCAAAGGGAAGCCTGTCTCTGCTGCACGTCGAGACAATCTAGACTCGCCAACATTTCTATTTCTCCCATTAAACAAGCCTACAAGTGAAACTGAAATGTTTCAAACCCACTTTCACAATATCCCAACCCCTAATTTTCACTTAGGCTAGGTAGCATAATCACGGAGGATTCATCGAACGCCTACTTAGATCTATTTGCTACAGACAAACCGTATTATTTTACATCAATGAGGAGTGAAAATCTTCAACCCATACATGAGCCCTAGGCCATAAGCCACAAGTCAAAATATATACTTACTGGTGTATTCGTTTGTATATGCTTACAAACCACAACCTCCAAAGAAAGTATTAACAGGGTTTTGAAACAAGAGTCGGTAATTTTGTCTACGATCGTTGAAATTCAGCTTAAAACTGAAGTTCTCTTTACAGAGGGAAAAAGCTCATTTGAGCCTAATTTTCCTCCATAAAGAAATGCTGTTTGGTGCAATGGTAGTAATGATCCATCAGGAAGGCAACTCCAGATGGGTTTCGGGTCTGATTTAACTCATAATCAGTGCAGCGCAGACTCCTGATCTGCTCACAAGCTCGGAGAGGCTGTAACAACCAGACGGAAAATCGGGTATGCGACTGTGGTAGCGAGCGAACCTAGTACCATCTTCTGAGAAAATTATCCAAACAGCTATGCTGAAGTCCTGGCAAGGCAGTGTTCTCAATAAAATAGATAGCGGTTTGACGCATGAGTTGTTTTGATAAGAGAGTTGGTGTTACATTAATAAGCTCATCAATTGCACTTTATTATATTAATCAATAACTGCTTATAAAAACTTGGAAGATAAATAGAGTTAATTCTAATTTTCCTTGAAGTTTTTTATTGTTTTTATCTTAACTGTTGAGTTCTGCTGTGTCCTCTGATCTGATCAGATGGTAGTAGTATTACTTTATTTAGCTTTTCAAATGTATTATAGTAAGCTATCCCTAAAACATTGATCTGCAAAACACAACCTTCATTCCTCTATCTGCGTTAAAATTTGTCTGCTTACAGTTTTTCCACGTAAATTGTGTCTGTTGCCAGAGACACCTGGAGGTGTTTCTCACTTCCAGCAATTAAAATTAGTTCAAATCATTCCAAATTTCATGTTAAAATACCAGTGAGTATGAAGGCAGAAATTCTCATTTGATTCTTGCAAGGAATGTAAGATTTAAATTAGCAGGGCAAAAATCCGTCTCTGTAGTCGAAAAATGTGTTAGAACTCTTAATGTTGGTCCAATTGTAAGTCAAACTGGCATAAAAATTTGGAAGAAGAAGAATCATTATCATTGGCATAGTTTCCAACTTAATCTATCAACAGTTTAACATCTTATGACACTTCCTCCTTTAAATTCTTCTTGAGTCTTCCTTAGCTTTCTTAAAAGCAGAATTTTTTAATTTGAAGTTTGTATTTTGCAGATTGGTCCCATACAAGAAAACCAATTCCCCGAAAAACATAATCATGTCGTCTTACCAGCTGTACCGCAACACAACTCTTGGAAGTACACTTCAGGAGAGTCTTGATGAGCTCATCCAATATGGACAAATCACACCTCAGCTTGCAATTAAAGTTCTTCTTCAGTTTGATAAAGTAATCAACAATGCGCTCGCGTCTCGCGTCAAGTCTCGGTTGACCTTTAAAGCTGGTAAACTGAACACTTACCGATTCTGTGACAATGTGTGGACTTTTATGCTCAACGATGTCGAGTTTCGTGAAGTGCAAGAAGTTGCTCGAGTCGATCGTGTAAAAATTGTTGCCTGTGATGGTAAAAGTGTTGGCGATGAATTAGCAAGAAGATAATTTTGTTTAAAGCCTTAAGAATTGTTTCTTTGATCTTCCTAGTTTCTATTTTCTTTGTTTGATAATTTGTAAATTTAATTTGTTCATTGCTGCTGCATTACCATGTTAATAATATTTCCTATGTAAGTTTGTATTTCTGATATTTTTGTGGTATTTCATCATCACTCTCCAACTTTATAACAGCTCTTTTTCAAGTATCGCAACCATTGAATTCTGATCTCTTGGATAGGGTAGAATCCTGATCTCTTAGGTTTGGATAAACGCTGATTTTTTGGTCTTCAATTGTTCTCATAGTATAACTGCAAGTTCACTAAGTTATTATCTGATTTTAATTTTCAGCTGCAATATTTATTCTCCCTCCCTTGTCTAAATTTATCTTTTGGAAAATTAATTTAATTTCTCCTATTATTGTTTGACTTTATTTTACAAGATTTGTCGCAGCAAACACTTTCGCAAGAAAGAAAGACGGAACCATTCAACACTAGGATTGTCTTTGAAGCCTTCCCATGCCCATCGCAGTTAATAACCGCACTATAATTCAAGTTTAAGTAATTTTCACAATCTTCTCCTCTATTTCAATGAAGAAATTTAAAACTTACATAGATTTCTGTTTGACTGTAAATTCAGTAATTTATTTGAGTGCCAAAACTCGAAAGGAGGATAACTTTACCAGTCCTTTTTTTAATCCAGCAAAGACAAGCTCATTTTCCATCTAAGTTATTTAAACTTTCTGAGGTAGTAGGAATTGGACGTATTTCTGCCAAACGGAACTATGCGCATCAAGACATGAGCCCTGAGACCCATAAGAATATATGCATAACAGGGCTCACATTTTAATGCGCATAGTTCCGTTTGGCAGAAATACGACCAATTAATACAAGTAGCAGTTTTATCAATTTTGATTCGTAAGAATTGTAGTTCGGTCTTTTTAGTCTTTAGATTCATCCAAGCTCAAAATAGCTTTGAAGTTAAAGTGAGTTAGTCTCACAAGTTGAACAGAATGATTAGGAAATTTTTTGTAAGATCTTAAGTTACTCAGCTTCATCCAGAACCGAAAACCAAAACTCGATTTTTTCCTCGAAGGAATTAAATACTTCATGAAGAAGATGTTTTATATACAAGGAAGCAGTGTTAAAAGGGTAGGGGAAGATGACATTCTTTTTCAAGTTTGTCAATCCATAGTGAATGAACTATAAGGCTTTAATTTTAAAGAAAGAACAGTCGAAGAGGGGATTAGCCGACAAAGTGAAAAAAAAAAATATTTAAAAAACTTATGAACCTCATGGGAGGGAGAATTGATAGAACTTCAATGTTGGAAAAAAGGGGAAAAGATCGGATCAAATAGTTTTTAAATCCCTAGATCTTGTCAAACTCCGAAAGTTATGCTGAAATAACCTCAAGCTGAATTTTTTAGGTCCAAGAACTTGTGAGATAACTGCCTCTTCCATTAATGTCTTTAAGTGTGCAAATAATCCAATCACGCATGTACCCATCTCACTAAACTCTAGCCCTATTTGATTTTTTTTCAGTTATAATAACAACAATTGTACAATATTATGCCTTAAAGCAATCTGTCCAAATTATTTTTTTTCTCTTACAGATTCGATCAGAATACTTCCCCTCATTTTGCTCAGTCAGTGTTTGTTTCTTCCTTTTTTTTTTCTGCATAGATATTTATCCATGAGTAAATGGATTCAACTTGGCTCTTGAAAAGAAATCCTGAATAAACAGTTTTGTTATAAACTGGCTTTGTAAAATTTCTGTTTTCTTTCCACAGTACCTTTTTCTGTACCGTCCAGTTTTTGCTTAGGAGAAATTGTCTCTCTAAGGCTGCGTTTATAGTGAGCAGACGCATTTGATTTGATCAGACTAAGTGTGGAATCGATTTTATGGAGATGCATCCAACCCCAGGTAAATCAAATCTGGTCTAAAGAGGCGTTTATTTCATGCATCAACTCTCACAGTTTTTAGTCTCATCACATTCTCTCTGCGTTAAGAAAGTTCAGGAATAGTTGTCAAAATCATAATTTACGTCCAAATCATAAACGCTTTGATTCAACTCCATGTGTTCTGATTCAAGCATTAATCGATTTCACATCCAGTTTGATTGAATCAAATCGAATCTGCTCACTATGAGCGCAACCGTTACGTTTTTTAAGCCTCTGCTAATTTTCTTGTTAGTAATTTTTATGATCAGCTATCCCGGTACTAGACAAGATTTTTTGTTTCATCAATCTTGGTGACAAATTGCTTACCAAACTTATGTTTAAAGAACTAGATAGGAGGATATTTTCCAAGGAAGCAAGCTTGTGTTGAATGCTGCAGCTTAAAAAATTCTTATTTCAAGTAAATTAATACATGCAATCATTCAAATCGCAAACATTTTGGAGTCCCTATTTTTGAAAAAATTAAAAGCTAGGAATGCTTTATATTATAGAAATAAAAATGCGAGTATGCAGTATTAGGATAATTCAATAATCTGTAAAGAAACGGGTGCCCCTTGAATGACATGACCTATGACAATAATAGATATTTAGGTAATAGATTACTTGTGTCTCTCATCAAGAAGATGCACTAATCCAAAGTATAAAATGCTCAATGTAAAAAATGCAATATGGTGTTACTTTAGAAATGTTGTAACCGTCTCTGTGACATGCACAAAGTTATCACACAAGAAAGAAGAAAAGGAGAAGAAAATCGTGTTCTGTTCAATTTTCAGTTCTTCATTTTTAGTTCTTCTTCGATTCCTTCTGGCCAATTTTTGAAAATGGCTCAAATACACCCTAAGTCTTTTAAATTTCGATGGTGAGACTCACAAACCAGGTACTTCGGTTTGTGACATTGCAGACTTCCTGTCATACTTTATTTTTTAAATTGGAAACCACTCAACGTCAATTCTTTAAATTGTCCATGATTTTCCCTCTCTACTTAAAGGAATTTCTGTTAAAACTTAAAGGAATGATGGTCAATCGCCTTTAAAAAAATAAAATGGGAGCGGAGGTATTAAAACACCTCAAACGAGTCATGTGGTTCTGGAGTTTCTTCGGTGATATGTAACAAATATTACAAGATAAATTTTTTTGTGAACATTGACTCCTTTCAAGAACTACAATAACTATGAATTAGTCTTTATTAATTCGTATAAATCGCCCTGAACAATGAAACTTTGAATTGGTTAGCTTTATAATCCCATTATGTTGCAAATCGTATAGTATCTACGATTGTATCTAGGTGCTTTGCCTAAACAGCCATACAAATCGTTAAGCTTTAAGCAGTCAGTCTTACTCATCATTTTTCTTTGTCCCAGTCTCTCGGCCGGATACTTAGCTGTTATTGTTGGTTTGCCTTTTCCAATGCTGAAAAAAAGGAGAAAAAAAAATTACTTTCTGATAATTTTGTACCTATCAAAAAAATTTAGCATCTTCTCCCTGGAAAGAATGTCTAAGTAGTCTCATGCTACTGTTTTCACCGCCCTCTTTATTTCTCCTTCTCCAAATTAGGAAAAGAGTACTCATACGAAGTTCAGCAAAATCTCTGATCTCAGTTGAAGAAAGAGAAGATAACATTCGATTGCTCCAATATGTGTCTCTTTTAATAGAATGAAGAAAATACATTACCTCTTTTTCAATGAGAGGTTGAGGGTAACAAGGAATTGAATCGGTCATTCTCAAGAAGACTTAAGCGACAGAAATGGGAATACGAGAAAATCTGAAGAAAAGCGGTTGGAATAACCCATTCTGAATCTCAGAGTGCCAAAATATTTAAGCAATTAATTACTCAATGGCATTATTAAGTAACGTAAAATTTGAAATGGGTCGATTATTACGCTTTTTACTGTTTTCTGAATTTTCCATTTCTGGCTCTTACGTCTTTGAGAATAACTAAATCTATTATGTATGGCTTTGAATCCTCAAGCTCTTTATTCTTGTCTATAATAGAGACTGTAAAACTGATAATAGTAATTTTTAGACCATGTTTTAATTTTCACTCACCTGAAAAAGTTTTTTCCATAGTGCATGATACTATCAAAGTCATATTCAAATTGGTAGGTGGTATTAGCCAAACTTTGCTTGTCAAAATTTGATTTAAATTCTGAAAAAGGAGCCATTAGTCAATAGATGAGTGATATTAATTAGGCTTTCACTGATAGTTTTAATTTCATAAATGTAATTATATACTGCTAATATTGAGAAAACAGTGTCAATTGGAGGAGTTTTTTAAAACTCTTCCCTTTCATCTGCCCATGGACTGTAAAATTTTTATCCGAGTTCAGTTGTACTTTTTGATGTCATGGAATATGGGTTCTCTCTGTAAAACTTCAGAATGCTCCTAATTATTTATAATTTTCATCGTTGCTTTTTTATGTCTTGCCTTGAAGAATTCTCCAAACAATGATCGCATGTCTTTCAAACAAGTTTTAAATGCAGATTCTCAGTGAGGCAGGGATCAGTAGTTATTAGTAATTTCAGCAAAGAGTTGAGGATCATATCTCCAAGTATTTTCAAGGATGTTCTTACCGTAATTAGTGCTAATAAAAATCTCCTTTTTTTGCCGTCATTTTCCTCTCAGTTTCCATGCTTAAAAACTGCAACTTTCAACACGGTCGCGAAAAAATTGATGCTCATTGCTGTATCTTCATTACTTTATATGAACAAGGGTTTGGCGGCATTTGATCAATTTTTTTCTTCTTTCCTTTCAAAATATTTCTTGGAGGCACCTAGATCTGTGCTGTTATTCATGAAAAAGTGTCAATGATGAGAACATAGCAATCACTCTCTAATTTTATTCTTTTATGGACATTTTTCAGGATTAAGGAACTACTACCTGGTATAACATTTTCCAAGTGAACTTTGATAAATTTGTCTCGGTCAGCTCGTGACTGCTCATGGAAAACTCCTAAGGCATGCATCAACTCATGGATTGGTCGTCCTTCTCCACCTAAACAGTTGGGTCCTGTATCATCAGGCGGCTGCAGAGATACAATTTGGGCGCCTCCGTTTTTACCAACATATGACCAGCATCTGTTGGGCAAATAATCAAATTTTGGATTTTTTCTAGGTAAAGCATTCGTATTCATTACTCACATTTTTATACTCTTTTTTATTCTTTCCTTTTTCTTATTTGTTCATTCTCTACAAAATTGAGTTTTTTCCTGATTTTCTTGCAAATATAGCAAGACTGAGAAAATGTGCATCTCTAGTTGCAGCATTGCACGATACTTCATTTACTGTAGCTTGGAAGTATGTTTCTTGCTCAGAAGTATGCCAGCGACACTTATTTTTAAGGTAATTCCTGATCCATGTAACAGCCCAATTGAACTCTTTTTCACAAGGGGAAAAATACATTTTTCAATTCTTGCTTTTTCTTAGAAAAGTTGACTCGTTGATTGAATCCACTTACCCTCTAGGATATTTGATTGGCCAGATTAGAAGGTAATCTTTAGCCTTTCCATCCCATGGCCGAAATTTGATGCAAGTCATATGGTTAATAGTTGTTATCGCCTTGTAGATAGTGATGTAATGTTCGGTCTCTGAAACATGAAGCCAAATAGACACTGCTTTTTAATGTTGTAACTGGTTCTCTGTGTCTTCTATAATTTAATATAACTGTTCTGAAAAGAGCTTCCTCGATTTCGGAGAATTCGTCCATGGATCATTCCATGGGATAATTCCTCCATTCAAGAATTTTGAAATGATTTGCCTGGTGATCTCCTTCTTCCTTGTGATTGTGATAGCAAAGTTTGAAATAATCATTGTTAATCAGAGTGGTTCATAAGAGTTTTAAGTCTTCATGATGCATAATCACCACTTACTCCTTTGCTCACAAACTTGATTTTCAAGCTTGCTTTAATAAGTGCTATTTGACTGGAGATGCCAGGACATATGTGAAAAAGAGAGAGGTACTAAAAACCGACCTCTACATTTGTAGAACTCTAAAATTATTTGTTTCCTTTTTTTCTGATTCTCCTTGTTCATTTTTAACTGCTGACTCCCACATATTTAATAACAGAGCATGAACATAGGATCTGTTCCATTAAGGGCCATTTTCTGACCTTTTGAGAGTCAAATTAAAAGAACTGTTGCCCTCCCCCCCCCCCCAAAGTTGTCTTTTTTAGGTGTTGATCGTCCAATTTTCGAGGTTTATATAAAATATTGAACGCTCAGAAAAGATGCACCCCTACGTTTTAGCTCAGTTTGCCTAGTGGTCTCAAGATTTTTCATAAAAAATTACCAATCTGGATAGTTCAGCGACCGAAAGCACTAGTGCATGCTTCAAGCACTTCTTTGTTTCGTTCTCTTATCACTAATGGCTTAGAGGAACACATTTTTAAAAGAAAAGTTGCTTCAAGGATGCGCTTATACCTATACGAGCATCCCGGTATGAAAAAAGAATAAAATTGCTGTCATTGTTTTGTGTCAAACCTTGAAATAATCGGTGAACTGATTGTGAGTTAAGAAACAACGAGGAAACTTTTCTGTACATCCAGTTTTCGATGGAAACCTTACAGGTTGGACACTTAGGTGCTGAAGAATGCAGTTTTGCAGGGGGTCTAAGGTATTTTCAAATTTAACTATTACTGAGGTCCTTTTGAAGTTTTCTGAAGTTTCTGTAAACTCTATCAACCTATTAAATAAAACAAGAACTAGGAATTTAAGTTCTCTTTACTTTCGTTTTTTACGACCCCTTACCATAAAGTGGGCTGATAACATATGGCACTGTTCTATTCTTCCACAGTTTGTCTGGGAAAACATCCCATCGTAAGCCAACTCGCCAATCTCCGTAAGTCTTGAAAAATAGAGAAAAGAAAATGAAAATAATTTTAAAGAAATTATACAGAACAAGTAAGGTTTACCAGTATGTATTTCATATTATTATAATTTGCGAGGTTTTACCATGACAGTTTAGTTGCTGAATACCGCAAGAAACGTTTCTTCTCAAGAAACTTTGTTTCGAGATAGAAGCCATTGAAAGCCTGCTTACTGCTCTTGTTTACCTACACGTTTGATCAAACTAAGTCATATATTTTTGGTTTTAATTCCTAGAACTAAATTAAAGTTTGAAGAAAAATGATGCCCGTTAAAGTATTTCTCAAGGCTATCTTTCTTAAGGCACTTTAGTGGTGTAAACGAGTTGTGAGCTTTGCTGGCATTCATTATTTATAAAAAAAAAAATAAAATGTTTAACTTCAGCTGTTGCCCTTTATGCAAAAAGAAAATTTCTTCTTTTAACCACTCATCTTCTCTTTTAAACATGCCTGGAAAAGCTGAGTTTCTCTCATCAAGAAATACTTAAATAATTGATTTCTTCGTGTGTCCAGTCTTGAAATCCATTTTAACGCAGTTTGATAAGTAGGACAGATTAAATTGTTTGTCTGTTTCATTATAAATGAAATTATTACGAAAGTTAAATTGAAACGTATTCTATTTTACCTCATCATTGATGGCCATATCTCCCTGAAAGAGTCCAGGTCTGACCTCTGGATCGATCTCTGGGTCAGCAAGAAGTTTTTCAGCATCCTCTGCTGTGAATCCAATCTGAGCTGAACGAGATGAGAAAGAATCACAATAAAATAACATGTTTATTTTTCCCCCAATTTTTTTAAAAAGTATAAACGAAGTGAATATTGACTGACTTGTGTTTTGTAAAGTTTTGAACTTGAAACTTTAAAGTTAATGCTTTAGACTTCAGTTTTAAAAAAATATTCAACATTTTTGCCATGAAAGTGGAGGCCTTTGTCTCATTGCAATCGGTCCATTTTAATCGTATGATGACATGCGTCTTCGTGAAGATTTCAATCCATGGAAAAATGTCCCCTTTGCTTGGCAGTGTTTCTTAGTTGGAATCATCAAAATCGCATAGCTCTTCAAGAAATTTAGACATCAAGTTATGATTTGTGCTGAAATTTTTCTGAAAACTGGCTCTTGAACGTAATATCCAGATTTTTGATCCTATGTTAATTTAGTCTGCCTTGTTATAATCTGTCCAATCTTTCAGTTCGTAAAATTTTAGTAACTTGGAAGTATCAAAAAAGGCTAACGTTTGGTTTCAGAAAAAAATGGATGTGAAAGATTTCTCGTTGAATGAAAAATCAGCCTTCATGGAAACTATTAGTGCCTGTGCTTTTTTATCAACACCTTTGCATCTCAGGCTCATCATAAGTACGTTTTCTGTCAAAAGTTTGAAGTAATTTCATAAAAATCAGACCAAGCAAAATTTTTGTCTGATAATGACACCTGCAATTCCAAAATTGGACTACCTCAATAGTTACATTTTTTTTTAAAATAAGGGCTGAGTGACTTAGCCAACTGAGATACCCACCTAAATAACGCCATGATAGCCAGACTTTGGATTGTCAAGTCTCAAATTCAATTGAAATTTTTTACTCTTTCGATTTTTATGAAATTGCACCTAAATTTTGGCTGGAAGGCATATTTTTTTGGATCTTGCATTGCAGAGGCAAGAAAAGAAGAAGGCTCAGAACTTGTAAACTGGCCATTTCCATTAAAGCCATGATACATAGATAGATGTGGGATGTACTGAGGAATCAATCACATTTCTTTTTTCCAAATCAAAGCATACATCTTTTATCACATTTACAATTCTAAGTAATTTTACCAACTGAAAAATCAGACAAATGGCAACAAGGCAAATTTAAATTTACAGTGTACCTATTTGAATTTTGCACTAAAGGGAATTGTTTCAGAAAAGTTTTAGCATCAAGCAGAATTTGATATTTTAATCCATTGCGGAGCCATGGCATTTTGATGGTTCCAATTTAGCAATGCTGCTGCGTGATTTTAATTTCTTACGAAACAAAACTTTTTTGGGGGTCGAAACCCTAAGGAGAAGGCGTGTCATAAGCTGCAGGGCAACTCATGAAAATTTAAGGAAGATCTAAAAATAAGCAAAAATCGCCTTTTTAAAATGACCCTCTTCCTTCAGGGTATTCTCAATATGTAGATTAGTCAATTTTGAAACCCATCAATTTTCAATTTTCCGCGTCAATTTTCCATACCCATCGTTTAATGTGCTCTCTTTGTTTTCATAAAAAAAATTATAGTTTTTTCATAAAAGAAAATTGTAGTTTTTTCTTTTAAAAAATATAGTTTTTTTTATTGTAAACATTTTGTTTTGCAAAGGTCCTGTGGATAATTAATTAAATTGAAATAACACCTTTCCCCTTTTTTTCTCGTTTTTTTTCTTTTTTTCAAATTTACAGCTAGGAACCAAGAGTATTAATAAGACTCTCAGTTTCTTTCGTTTATAAACATTCAGTTTCAATAATGAATATACTAATAATTTGTCAACCATTTGTTGAAGCAACACTAGCCGCAGGAAAATAAATAGTCTCCCACTCAGTTTTAAATATTTTTTGATTTTACTTACCATCTTCTGGTACAGGAGGGTGTTGTATCTCTGGTATAGTCGGTAAATTTATGCCGCGGCCCTGACAAACAATGGAGTAAACCAAAATCAAGAAGGGATATTTCATCGCTTCCCCTCTTCCCTCTCTATCCCTCTTTTTCACTTCTCGCACTTGATCTTCACAAATTTACGAGCTCGCACCATGCTAACTGAACAGGTAAAATTACCACCAAAAAAAAAAAAACCTGTAATAAACTAAAGTCAGAATTTTTTTAAACTAAAAGTTCATCCTTTCAAACTTTAACTGCAGACAATTTAAATATCAAAAGAGTCAGTGGCCTCTGATTTTATTTAAAAGTATTGAATGAAGCTCATTTAGGAGAAAAGATGGATTACTTCTTTCTTCTACAAAGATTTGTACACTTTTTAAAGTGGGAACACTCAGGGGGACAAAAAAAGATGTGTAGAGGAAGTGTGAGTGACTTAGAATATTTGAATTCTGATTAAGTTGGTTATCATCTGTGGGTGTCTGGCTGTGAGCTGAGATGTATGCTTATGTAGGTCATTCAACTTGGAGAAACCAGTTTGTGTGCCTCTATCACCACCTTGACATTCATTATAAGCTGTGATTAATAAGTAGTCACATGGAGTCCTGCTCCTGCACAGTGCAGACCCCCATAGGAATGCAAGCCCCCCTGGCCCCCTTCCTCCCCCCTCTCCACCTTTTGCCTCTACTCTCAATTCAACTTTCATAGCTCATATCTCAAGAATTTTATGATTCAGTCTGATCAAGAATTTGTATTCTATTTTTGTCCTGTCAGCTTATACTTTTTTCTTTGTTTGGTTTCTAAAAATGTGCTTTATTCATTGTCCTGGTTTTCTCAAAGACTCAAAATAACATCCATCTACCAAGGAATCATTTCCATTGATTTTTTCAACTGTTCCAAAAAATGTAAAGGATAGTCTTATACACTTTTATCTTTTCTTTCCCTATTATTTTCTTAATTGGGTATTTAAGTTCCATACTCCTACTGTTTTTAACTTTCCCACTTTCCACCGTTATTCACTATTTTCAGTCTACGAGGTGTTTTTATTTGTAGCTTTGTGTCAAGGCACTTTCTGTAATGTAATAAAAAATGCAGCCTCAAGTGTGACTATTGTCCATGAGTTGTAATTGATTTATTCTTTAATTAAAAGGAATTTACTTTTTCTTTATTTTGTAAATTTTAAGATTTCTCTCTGATAAAGGTCCACATTTCCAATAAAAGTATTGGCTTTACTCAACTGCAAAAAAATAATAATGATTCTAGTGGGAGGATAGTTCACCCAACAACTAGCACAGTATACTTGTTATTTTACTTTGCATGTTGTTGAAGATGGACCAAAGTCTGTAATATGACAATTATTTTAAGGAATGTCACAGTTATTACTTGGAAAAAAAAAAAAAAAAATGCTGATTTAAGATGATGGCTATCAAGAGTGCCAAAAATCATTTTCAGCATTGGAGCAAACTTTTAAAAAATTGCAAAAAGACAACTGCCTTGCAAGACTGTTTTAATTGAAGGGATGCTCATGAATGTCGACTATGAAACTAGAAAAAAATGTTTCTCGATCTCTATTTCCTACACACAATCATTTTTTATTTTTTAAGAGCATATAGCTTGATACTTTTGCTTAAAATTCTCGAAGAACATTCTTAAAAAAGGAAATATATAAATGCCAAAATTTTGCACTGGAATAGCATAAGGTTGTTCCTTAAACTAAAAGATTGTAACGGAAGTCAGAAACAGCATTTTAAATGATGTGTTTTTCCAGTTTTGCCATCTACATGTACTGTGAAACTCTTTAAGTCATTACTTGTACATATAATTTTAATTCGGTTTTTTGTTGCAGGTGTCATAAATAAACCCAGCAGCCATGATGGTCGGATATGACACGAGAAAATTACATAATTTGAACAATGATGATCTGATGTTGGGAGGCGCCATTGCCGGAGGTCTAACTCGCCTTCTTTGTCAACCATTAGACGTCATCAAAGTCAGACTGCAGGTGACTCGACCCCCATTTCAAAATATTGTCAATGCTGATAGTCATAATCATTGAAGGAACATTTTGACCAGGTTTACGAAGTTAATGGAAGGTAAAAGCCGATAAATTAGATGTAAAAAATTGTTATAAAAGTCAAAGAGATGAAATCGCTCAAATTCGTGGCTTGCATAGAAAGTTTTAAGAAGGATAAATGGGTCATTAGCTATTTTCACACTATTTGTGCAGGATTAGAACTGAATATGAATTATATACTCAGATATTTAAGCTTGAAATCAATTCAAAATGATCTAGTAATATCCATTGTAGAAGAAAAATGTAAAGAAGTGCTTAAATAATAAAATGCACACTGTAAAGAACTTCAATGTCTGCCAAGACAGTACCCACAGACGTAAAATAGGAATGGGGGATATTTTCCACTCTCTGACTTCTCACCACTGCAGTGGCTCAATTATTGAAACTACGTCGGTACGACAAGGCGAGACAAAGTCTTATTGTAACCATGGAGTATATTGCATTTCAATGTCTAATCAGGCTGCTTTAAACTCTCAATAATCTGCTGGCTGGAGGAACCACTGAAGCCCCAACTGTTGGTCAGTTACGCAACTCCAAACGAAATTCAAGGACTTCTTCCAGTATATTTGGCTAGTTCCATAACATTGCGCGGTTTGTGGATCTCTATTAGGAAAACAGACTTTAATGGTTTCTACATGAGACAATTTAAGTTTAAACTCCAAGCATAGCAGCTTTCAAATCTCCAGTCAGTATAGAGTAAACTTATTCTGAAGATACTTTTAAATCAATCTTTCATCAGTTGCTTGAATTTGTGAAATTTTTAACAATTTTGAAAACGAAACAGATGTAATATGAATTGACTAATTAATAAGCATTTTTTTTTATCCCTAATCCTTCTATTCTTCCCAGTTTTGAGGCAGGGTATTGAAAAAATGAAATGCTTACTAGCCTCCTAATCAAAGTTTGCAGCCTCTTATTCTAATGGCCTTTAAAATTCCTCAACAGATCTTTTTTTTTCGTAGGTAATGATGCGTGTCACCATTTTTTTGGCTTTTTTATTTTTTTTTTATCATACTAAAATCTTCTAAGCTTAATACTCAAATTTGATTTTTTCACAGTTGCAAGTAGAGAGACCTTCCAGATCTCAACCCGATGCTAAGTACCATGGAACATTACAAACTTGTAGCAAAATCGTGAAAGAAGAAGGATACAGAGCCTTGTATAAGGGACATGTTTCAGCACAGCTCTTATCCATATCATATGGAATTGCAAGTGTAAGTCCAGGAAAGTTTTTTAGAACGACTCATGTCATGCTAATACTTTTTTATTGGTCTGGTTAGTTTGTTCTGTGATGCCAGCAGTTATTCAGACAAGCCTTTTATTTACTTATCACTCCCCAATTTTTACTACTTACGTTTTGCAGATAATAGAGTAAAACGCATCTACATGAGAAATCTAACAAAGTTTTTTTTAAATATTTGTCTAATCTCAAATTCTTTTCATTTTTATAACTGAAGTTGTAGAGCAAGATTTTTTATTTATTTTTCAGTTTGCTTCTTTCGAGTATTTCACAAAGGAAGTATTCGTCAGGAAACCACATATGAAAGATTTGTCTCCTGTAACTTTCATTTGTGGAGGAGCTGCCAATGGTTTGGCCACTGTAATCTCTTATCCATTTGACACAATTCGCACCCGTTTCATCGGTCAAGGGAAACCTCCAGTGAGTATAATTTCTATCCACTGGTTTAAATCACTAAAAGTTTTTGGGGACTGTTCGGTAGTTTCCTTTTCCCAAGTTTGACTTTTATCTCCTTCTTTTTTTCATTGAAGAATCATATAAATGTTTTCATTAATTTTTCCAAATTAATGCTGTTTATCATTTTAATGCTTTCACTCTTTCTTTTCTTGTTAGATACCTAAGATGGGAAGTTGACTTACCGCCTCTATTTCTCTATGTGCAGTAACTAGTCAACTGAAATGAAAGTCTATGTAGATCTGTACTTCATCATAACCCCATAAAGTACAAACGTATTTTCATCTTCATGTACTCAAGAATTAGGAAAAAAGAAAATTTATTTTTGCTTAGTTAATTTTTAAGCATTTTTTGCACCTTTTTCAAAATTTGTTTGACAGCCTGAGAATTTGTTATCTCTTTATCATTATAAGGAATGGTTCAAAATATCCTCTCTCGGTCTTTGAAGCTCTGTTATGGAGCTCACAGGAAAGTGAGTGCTGTCAAAGGGGTTCATTTGTGTGAATGTTTTTGCACACCATCATATATTTGAAAATGTTACGTGTTCAATTTTCGTCGCTTAGCACAAAACTCTCAGTGTATTGTCTACTTTCTAAACTTTGTATTTTTTCCAGCATTTTATGATTTATTATTTTTTCAGGTTTACACCGGTCTGTTTAATTGTATAGGTACAATTCTCAAAGTGGAAGGGTTTCGGTCTCTGTACAGAGGTTTTTTTGCAACATTAATACAAATCATTCCTCATGGAGGTGCTCAGTTTGCAATTTATAATAAGATCAGTGTAATATTTAAGGAAAAAGGTAAATCATTTTAATCCCTCTATTTCTGTAAAGTTTATGTTCATCAGCAGATATCAAATGACGAATGAATATCATTCTGGAGCTGATGCAATCTATTGTAGAGTAATGAAAAACTTAATGGATTTCTTTCAATGTGGATTGTGGAGCAGCCAACCAACCAATGCCAAGATGACTGACGGCTCAGAGCCTTAAGCCAGTGGCTTAAAAATCGACCTCAGTCAGCCAGTTTTTAAGACTTGAAATTTACTGACAAGAATATATTAGTGAAACATTGTATAAACATTTCGAAAGAAATTCTGAAGTCTTTCCTTACAAATCCCCTTAAGGACTAGTATCGCTTACTTTTTTGTATTGCACTCGTTTAAATTTCTTCAATTTTCTCATCATGCAGTGTTTTTGGCAGTCCAGAAAACCTAAAAAGTCAGAGAATTTATGGTAACAGAAAAGTCAGGGAATTCACAGGACTTGTCCAGGAATTTTGGGAGCAGTATCTAGCAGAAGTGAACGTAATTATAAAAAAAAAAAAAAAAAAAAAAAAAAAAAAAAAAAAAAAAAAACCAAGTAGAAGTTTAATGCCAAAGTCAGGCAATCCTAACATTTTAGAGTCAACGCAAAGTATTAACAGTCAGGGAACTTCAGGGAAACTAAAATTGAAAAAAAAATGGAAACCCCGATTCATGTCAATTTTGTGTTCTTTAGCTCACTCCCAAAAAATCCTCAGCTGTCAAATCATTCTCTATTATCTTTTTACAAATTAAAATTCTGCTCAAAGCAGACATAATCTATACTTAATTATATCAATGTTGAATTTTGATTTTCTAGGAATTTTTGTAATGTCGAGTTTGTATACTGTGAAGGATAGGAAAAAATACTTATCTCCATTTGGAAGTTTCCTCGCTGGTGCTATTGCTGGAGCAGGAGCCAAAGTAGCAATTTATCCTTTGGATCTTGCCAAAAAGCGACTCCAGATTCAAGGGAATTACAATGAAGTGCGGGAAGGATTCGGAAAGGTTCGTTTGCTGATGCTCCATTCTTATGCCAAATAAAATAATTTTTTTTTTTTTTTTTTTTTTTTTATTACTTCAAATAACCCTCAAGGGCTAATCCAACGCTTTGAGTCCCATCCCCCCTCCGTCCCTACTGAACCAGTCCCAGGCATTCATTGTTTGAGACCATCTAACTCGGGTCGCCTGGCCGGGAATCGAACCCGGGACCTCCCGATCATAGAGCAAGCGCTACAACCACTACACCATAGGAGGCCATAGGAGATATCAGGGAAAAGGGCACAGAAATAAAAAAATGCGCTTTCAGAAAAATGCATTGTAAGTTTCAATTGCTGTTTTCTGACTGCTGAGTAAGACTTATAATGCAGAACATTTGTGTTCACATGTGAAAGATTTGCTTTTGCCTGAGGCTTGTTTTTGTATCCAGTCGTTCCTTGTCTATGCTCTTTTCTCATTTGCCGTCATTTTCTCCCATTTTTTATCTCTCTAATCATTTGTAATTTTTGTTTGCAGAAGTTTGTCTGTTCGGGATTAGTTGACTGCATTAAGTTGACTTACAGAAATGAAGGCTTCTTTGCATTGTATAAAGGTTTGAAGCCTACTTTACTCAAGGCAATGATAGCAACATCTCTGCACTTTGCAATTTATGAACAAACTCTGTTGTTTTTATCGAATTCAAAGATTGCTAAAACAGAATCGTGATCAGACATTCTTTTTTTGCACTCGATTAGCTTGTAATCTAGCTACACATGTTTGAAAAAACTGCAAAATATCATTTTCCCTAATTTTATGTGTACAAAATAATTGAATTTTGAGGAAAATTTAGAAATTGTTTGTACTATTTTTTGTCTTAAATATTTAGTTTGTGGCAGGCTTTCTGGTGAGAATAGTTACCGGAATTCATTATTGTAGTGCCAGGCTAATTTTGTTATGTAGCAGTTTGATGTCCTAATAAGATTTGTTATTTTTTCAAGCATTTTTGCAATTATTAACAAGATGAAAATGTCCAAATAATAAAGGTACCTTTGTTAGTTTCCATATTTATTTTGGTATTTTATTCAAAAAATACCCCTTTAAATTAAATTTTACCTTCTTACTCTCTTGTTTCAACGTATACAGCTGTGACTGTTTGAAGTAAACAAAAATCGGACCAAATTTAACAACATAGCACCATTCGCATTGCAATATTGGTAAGATTGTCCATCCTCTATGTTTACAATAAACTAACTGAAAGCAGATCGGCTAATTAAATTTATGTGGTAATTTTTCTGTCATATTTTTATTCTTTGGAAGTACTCACTATTTAAATTCTGAGATTTTTCTCACAGCATAACAGAAGCTGTAAAATCGTTATAGCATACCTATGCTAGTAGTTCGTCATTGTGAACGCAGTTCAATTAGCTTGAAAATGATCTGTCCATGAAATTTTGAATTCAATTAAAAGTTTGTATCTAAAAAGGGTACACTATATAGTTTTCAGCACAACAGTCGTATATAGTGGATTGACTATTTTGAAAGCAGAAGACAGTGGTTGAAAAAAATAAATGCAGCGTGAAATTACAAAAATCCAAGGTGCATCAATTGCATTTTCCTATTCCAACAACATATTTTATTCGCTTAATATGTACCAGCTTTTCAATGAAACTATTAATTCATCAATTATTTTAGCATTATACGATGATAGATTCCCGCTTCTTATTACATTTTTTGCAAGGTTGAGTTAGCATTATTCTCAGGCCCACCACATCCCGGCTCGGGCCCTGGTACCAGTTTTAAGGTCCGGACCCCAAGCACGGAGGGGGGGGGGATCCGAGGGGCATCCCCCAAGAAATTTTAGAATTAATTATGACTAATCGGACGCATTGTGAAGCTTCCATAAAGAATGTTTCCATCAATTTCTGCGGAATAATTATGTTTTTTTTTCTACTTTCAGCACAAAATACTTGCGAAATGTTGCATTCAAAACATCTGGAAAATTTTTATTTTGGGGGGGGGGGGTATATGATACTACTTTCAGTTCTAAGAGGGCCAGGCCCCCCTGGACTTTCCCTTCGTTTGTCTATGGCAAGTGAGTTGAGCCATGAGCCATTGAAGTCGAGGATGCCCAGACTGGAGACTCTTAGCATCTCACGACGGAAGAAAATGAAACGCAGTTACTAAAAATATCCCTCTGTACTGAAAATCTTGAAAATAGATAGACATTTTCCAAGAAGTATACTTCTTTGAAAATTTAAGAAGAATTCTACAGAGCCCCAGCGTGTTTCTGAAAATCTACCTTTTGCGAAATTTTTAGGGTAAATTTTTCACTTTTTCTTGCGAAACAAGGGTTGCATGTGAATTCGTAGTGGTTTTTCACGGGTAACACGGGCACCCTCCGGGGCCCGGGCCCCGGTACCAGGGACCCAATATCCCCCCCTTGTGGCGGGCCTGCCTTCATGCACGCTGGGCTTGTCGATTTCCTTTGACATTTTTGCAGTGGTGAATGCATAGCTGAAGTGCACTACAGCTAGAATTGTATGTAGCAAATGGGTAATTTTTATAGGAGGATTATAAATAAACAAGTGGTTAGAAATGAAAACAAAATACTATGAACGATGCAAAACGATTATTAAGATATCGGAACTTGGCTGTTTTGAAAACGCCTTCAAATGCGGCGTGATACCTCACGCATTCCGGAGAGTTCAAATAGTTGTATCATTGCGCCGTAGGAATGTGACGGAAGATTTAAATGGAGATAGCCTCCATGCACGCTGGGCTTGTCGATTTCCTTTGACATTTTTGCAATGGTGAATGCATAGCTGAAGTGCGCTCTAGCTAGAATTGTATTTAGCAAATGGATGGTTTTTCTGCGAGGATTAAAAATAAACGAGGGGTACGGAATATAACAAAAGAATATGAACTATGCAAAACGATAATCCGGGTATCGGAACTTGGCTGTTTTGAAAACGCCTTTAAATGCGGCGTGATACCTCACGCATTCCGGAGAGTTCAAATAGTTGTATCATTGCGCCGTATGAATGTGACGGAAGATTCAAATGGAAAAAGCCTCCATGCACGCTGGCCTTTTCGATTTCCGTTAACATTTATGCAATGGTGAATGCGCTTAAGAGCGCTTCAGCTAGAATTGTACTTACATTGGGTGGTTTTTCTACGAGGATTAAAAATAAACAAGTGGCACGGAATATAACAAAAGAATATGAACTATGCAAAACGATAATCCGGGTATCGGAACTTGGCTGTTTTGAAAACACCTTCAAATTCGGCGTGATACCTCACGCATTCCGGAGAGTTCAAATAGTTGTATCATTGCGCCGTATGAATGTGACGGAAGATTCAAATGGAAAAAGCCTCCATACAGGCTCGCCACATCCCATCTCGAGCCCTGGTACCAGTTTTAAGGTCCGGGCCCCAAGCACGGAGGGGGGGGGGGTCCGAGGGGCATCTCCCGAGAAATTTTAGAATTTATATGACTAATCGGACGAATTTTGAAGCTTCCATAAAGAATTTGTCCATCAATTTCTGCGGAATAATTATGTTTTTTTTATATACTTTCAGCACAAAATACTTGCGAATTGTTGCATTCAAAACATCTGAAATTTTTTTTTTTTTGGGGGGGGGGCATATGATACTATTTTCAGTTCTATGAGGGCCAGGCCCCCCTAGACTCCCCCTTCGTTTGTCTATGGCAAGGGAGTTGAGCCATGAGCCATTGAAGTCGAGGATGCCCAGACTGGAGACTCTTAGCATCTGACGACGGAAGAAAATGAAACAAAGTCACTAAAAATATCCCTCTGTACTGAAAATCTTGAAAATAGGTAGAAATTTTCCAAGAAGTATACTTCTTTGAAAATTTAAGAAGAATTCTACAGTGCCCCAGCGTGTTTCTGAAAATCTATTCACCGTTTGCGAAATTTTTAGGGTTAATTTTTTACTTTTTCTTGCAAAACAAGGGTTGCATGGGAATTCGTAGTGGTTTTTCACGGGTAACACGGGCCTCCTCCGGGGACCGGGCCCCGGTACCAGGGACCCAGTATCCCTCCCCTTGTGGCGGGCCTGATTATTCTGAAACTTCCGAGGTTTCATAAATTTGCAGCAAACCTCTTTCAACATTTATTTATGAATGGAAATATGACACTTCCCTTGGAATTCTCTTAACCTGAAAACTTCCTAAATTGTATTCTCCTTTTAACAAAACGAAATTCACTCCAAGGAAATCTGTGGATTTACTTCCTAATATTACTTCAAAGACAATAGAAGGCGATTTCAAGGTTTCCGGCTGTGAGTTCAAGTTCAAAGGCTTTCTCCTTAAACTCCAGCCAAATGGAATGGTCTCCCAAGTGGTTAGTATCTAGTTCTTTTTATAGGGGAAAATACTTTAATATACCAAGGTATTATGCAGTCAAAATTAATCATATACACTCTGATTTATAATAAAATAATTTATTGTGTACAAAATAAAGTTACAAGTGCAGTGTTATCTTCGCCCATAAGAAACTGTATATCCCATATTAATCATAAGGGTGTCTTTTAGTGCAGGGTGCAGTTTTTTCTCCATGTATTTAGTGAGCAATGATCGGATTCCTCTGAGGAAAACTTCCTCCATTTCTTGGCTTACATTTGGACTAATATCCTCTCTACCCTCAGGACCATCAGTTTCCTCTCCTATCCGTTGAATTCCTCCCAGCTCCATTGGTTGACAGTTGTAGGCATGAATACTTACAAAATTAGGATCTACAAATGTGGTAGATGTTTTAACATCTGTCCCAAAACCTGAACGCTTGGGGGTAGCTGTGAAACCCAGTCCTGCATGACGCAACCTGGAAATAAAAATAAATTATTCATATAAGGGTGAATTTGTATTTTTTACGACGAATAGGTTCCTCGCTCAAGGCTCACATTCAGATATTGAAGCGATAAAGTCCGCCGAATTTTTCAACGGCCAGGTTTCGATGCAAGTATACAACTATCCGTGTTGCATACTCGAACAATCGCGGGAGCTCCCGCTTTCTTAAATACAACGTATATGTCCGCGGTGTTAGTTCCTAAGGGTTTTCTAAGTTGCATTTCCAAGCGCGTTTACCATAATATCCTTGGAGTTCGGATGAAACGTGAAGCACCATGGAAACGTTGCCAAATGGTGCAAATTGCAGACATGTAATCGATTAATTTGCGGGATTGAAATCCGTGATGCCGCATTCGTGGAAATGATTTTGTAGAAAATTTGCACTACTTGGTAACGCTGCCTTGGTACAACATGGCTCATTCGAACTCTGAGGATAAAGTAGTAAACACGATTGTAAATGCAATGTAGAAAACCCTTGAGAACAATGATAAGACGCAGTAGTTCAGCACACTGCCGTATCCTGTGTCCTATGCGAAACTTTGGAGAACTTTGAAACTATTGGAGACTTAAACGAAAGACAGAAAAGTAGTAGCGAGCTGAACTGCCGTATATCTTACGTACCATTGTTCTCAAGGGTTTTCTACGTTGCATTTACACTTCTAAAACTCTCCAAGTTGGAATGAGCCGCATTTCATCACGGCGGCGTCGCCAAATAGTGCAAATTTTCCAGAAACAGCATTTCCACAATTGCATCGCGAATGATAATCCCGCAAACCACTATCGGTAACATTCCCGCAATTTGCACCATTTTGCAACGCTGCCATGGTGCCTCACGACTCATTCGAACTCCGAGGATTTTCTGGTAAACACGATTGTAAACGCAACGTAGAATACCCTTGAGAACTAAAACTGCACTCGTACGTTGCGTTTAAGAAAGCCAGAGCGCCCGTAATTTTTCGGGTATGCAACACGGACATCCCGAGAACACGAATAGTTGCATCCAAACCTTGCCGTTCAAAAAGCCGCAGCGCCTTCAATTTTTTCCGCCTGTGATTACGAAATGTGTCCCTCTTTGCGCTCGTACGTCGTCATTGCACAAAGATAGGGCGGTTTGAGTATTATGATCAAATTTAAAAAAAGAATTAAGTAAATGAATGATATACATAAGTAAAATGGAAACTTCTCATACGGCAATAATTATTCGCCTGACTTCATCGGCAAGCACAACCGCTACCCTCTTCTAAATCTTCTCATTTAATTTGCTTGGAGATATGTACAAATCGTATCAAATTAATTATTCACATCTTCTGTATATGGCAGCGATGCCAAATAGTGCAATTTGTGAGACCGTTATCTATAAAAATGAGCAGACTCACGACTCATCGTGATCATCGCTATTTGCAGGGTGAGAGAATCTCTTGGATTTACAAATCCCTGCCATATCCCAGGCTTTTCAGTGCTTTTTGGCATGGTGTCAGAGAAAAAATCTAATCACAAACAATTCTCAGCACGAAATCGTGAAAATGTCATCGGTCGTGATTAGCGAGATTGACATCCACCAAACCAAATGTTTTTGGCTGTGATTCGCGGAAATGTGCACTATTTGGCAATGCTGCCATGATGCTACACGACTCATACGAATTTCGAGGATTGCATGGTAAACTCGATTATAAATGCAGAAAAGACAATACTCTTAGCATGACCGGAATTACCTACTTGCCGTCCATGGGCCACCTGCATTTTGCCGCCCTCTTCTCATTCATTTCGAAACATCAATAAAAACCATCAAGTGAACGTGCCGGAGGGAGAAGGGTGCATAAAACGCGTTCACTTGTGTTGGACACATTTTTTGCGTAAGTCCTGTCAACATTACTAGCAAAAGTTCACAGAACTTTGCGCGAAAGTTCAATGCCGTAAACCTATCACCTATCTCTGTGTGGACAAGGCCTTTCATTTGTAAGAAATGAACTAAAAAATTAAGAAAGAACAAACATAAATGTGGTTTAATAATTTTAACTTCCACCGCCGTGCCGCGCTGACCACACTGTGTTTGGCGCGATGCGTGAAGTATTAATGTAGTCTTGTAGGCACTGTGCGTTTCACGCCGCGCCGACCGCTGTTGACCGTACTGTGTTTGACGCAATGCGTGAAGTATTCATGCAGTCTTGTAGGCGCTAATATGTGTTACATACCGACCGCCGCGCCAAGGGTTTCGCCCTTCAATCTCAAGTCCTCGTCATCATTTCTCTTTGCGCCGCGCCGCTCCAGTCCAAATTACGTGTTTCGTTTCTCTCTTAACTCAACTAAATAAAGGTGCGCAGTCTTTTGTATCACGGAGTACTCGTACGACAAAATTAGAAATTATTATACTCTCAAGAAATGAGAGATTTTGTCACCTTTTCGTGTTTGTAATTTTATTCTGAATCCGATTTTTCTGTACCTGCATTTAAAAAAATTGCAAAATTTGCCGCTCCCTAATTTTGCCGACATGGGCCGCGGCCCATGTATGTCCATCCCCTTAATCCGGCCCTGACCCTTGGAACCAACGGTCGCAGCCAAACGTTGTGTTTAAGAAAGCCAGAGCGTCTGCAGTTTTGTCTGTATGCAACACGGACATCCAGAAAACATGCGAATAGTTGCATCCAGTGTCACTCATTGCATTCGCACGTAGTCATTGCACGAACAAGAGGGCTCATGTTACAGGAGGGAGGGGAGTTTCATTTAAAAAATCGATTATTAGCGTCACATTTGTGTGACCGGGCGTTGGATTGGAAACATAAACACGACGCGCCACGCCGTACCAGCTTCTGACCTTGTTCATTTTCATTCAAATGCTTAGAGCTTTATCAATAGATATTGCGCGTTTTGACTTGAAAGGACACGATATTGAGAGTATTACACGTTGATTATCACCAAAAATCGCTGATATCGACATTAATCGCGTTTTTTTTGTTGCTTTTCTAGAGAAAGTCTCTTACTGTAAGTTCCCCTTGCCCAAGCACGGCATAGGCCTATAGTTAGGCTACTTTGCTAGCGGGGCTAGGCTCCTTCATAGCACCGGGGGGTCTGAGGGGTAATTCACAAGCCCTCCCTCCCAGCACAAAGGGAGGTCCTGGGAGCCTTGCCCGGTAAATTTTTAAAGTTTACCTTTAATTACCTTTTTAATTTTTGGATCCATTTTTAAACTCTCGTAATGCATTTTCCATGCCCAAAAATTACGCTGTTTCATATATTTTCCTCTCAAAGTACCTATGAATTGAAGGATTTAACAACTTTTTAGAAGCGTAGCGGGCTGTGCGATATATTGTGGATTTGCCATTTCAACATATAGAAAAGGATTGATAAACAGAGCGTTCGCAACGAACACTTTAATAATCGGTTCTTACCCATAGTTTCAAATGGGGAAATATCGATAATCGATCATATGGACGTATTTCTATCAAACAGAACTTTGAGCAGGTGGGAAAGATGGGGTCTGCTCGTTAGTGCTCGGGCCATAAGAATGAATGGGAAATATAAAGCGCCAGTGACGAAGCCGTCGTCGCGGCTCCTTGTAGTGGGCATTAACTCATGAGCCCTGTTTATAACGCTCTACACACATGCCCACGGCTCACACACTTCGCACATAGTTTCGTTTGACAGAATGTAAAATCCCGCTTTTCCAATTCAGCAAACGAAATTGTGAGTCAACTGATTGCGGCACCCATGAGCCATGGGCATGTGTCTATAGCGTTGTGAACGGGGCTCATGAGTTAATGCCCACCACGAGGAGCCGCGACGATGGCTTCGTCACTGGCGCTTTATATTGCCCATTCATTCTTATGGCTCGAGCACTGACGAGCAGATCCCATCTTTCCCACCTGCACATAGTTCTGTTTGATAGAAATGCGTCCATTTACGCTTCGCCACTGCAAATTTTCTGTTTTTTTCCTCCATCTAGAATTTCTTGGGGGTCCAAATGATACTATTTTTGATCCTAGGGGGCAGGCCTGTCTGGACCCCTGTAGATTCCCATAATGCCCGGCCACATTATTTAATGAATGACCCTGAACGAAGCTCCACTCAATTTACGAAAAAGATGTAAAAGGCGCGCAATACGACGGCGTAAGTCCGCAATCACATATCTCGTTTGCGGTGTCTAAAAATGTCCGCCTCTATGTTATCTTTTTAAAGGAGAACAAATTTACATCATTCCTTGAAGTTTTTGCAGAATTTTCTTCGCACAGAGAGGAAAAATCACGGCAGTTTTAAAGAATTGCCATGGAGGAGTTTTCCGTTTAAAAAAGAAAGTATGGCAAGTCTGCGACGTCGCAAACCGAGTTATGTGATTGCCGACTTATACATGCCGCAATCACACGCTGAATTTAGCAGCTGAATATTGAAGTCAACAGTCATCGCCCAACGGCTGAAATTTAGCAAATTCGAGTTATTTTCATCCAGATGTGTATCAAATCTACTCGAATAGTTCAGACAAATCCAACATTAGTCCGATGGTTGCTGAGAATCGTTGCTGAATTTTGCGCGTCACGCGCAAAATTCAGGCATCGGGCCGATGACTTCCACATTCAAGCCACATTCAGCTCCCACATTCAGCGTGTGATTGTGGCGTAAAACAAATACTCGTAGCTCCACTGGATATGGAGAGGGTGATTACCTTAGAGTCATGTTGCACTTATCAGCTAAGGATGGCTTCCTGAGGACGGAGGACTCGTCGTAGAGCTTGACGGCGCCGGTGATGATGAGATCGTGGAAGAGGAGCTGGGTCTGGAGCATGTGGACATGCGGGTCGTAGCGGCACTTCTCGATGGAGGCCCAGGAGGACTTGGATGGCATCTTCACTTTCATGTCCGTCACGTACATCTCGAGCGGGGCCGAGCGGAGCGGCTGGTGGAGCGCGTAGCCGGACAGATCCAACAGGGGTCCGCTCCCACCGCCCCCGCTGCTCAAGCCGCTCCCGTTGGAGACGGAGCGCTTGGACGAGATCGAGCCCAGGGCCGACTCCAGCCGCGCGGTGCAGTGGTCCGCCCGACCCACGATGTTCACCGGCGCGGCGATGATCCGCGCATCTGAAACTGCAATCCGTACCCGAAGCTCAAATGGAAGGTTTTTAAAGACAAGGCATGGACGGAACTAGGGGGAGCAGCCTGATTATTGAAATTTTATGTTTGGCAGCCATAGCAGACATAGATGACATCGGTTAAAAGGCAGAGCCTGATTGGTCGGCTATGTCTTATCGCTGCTTTGTCGTGCCCATGTCGGGTTGAACTCACGACAAAGCTATCGGCACCTCTTAAGTTTCCGACAGCGTGCCGTCCATTCCATCTGACAAAGGCACGATAAAGCAGCGATAAGACATAGCTGATCCATCACGCTCCGCCTTTTAACCTATGTCATCTATGTCGTCCCGACAAACACAAAATTTCAACAATCAGGCTGCTGACCTGCCTTGACTTGCCATTCAGCTGCCTTTTCAAGTTTTGAAAATTTGACAACTTTTGGACAATTTTTCTTTGATAATTTCAGTTTTTTAGCCATGTGCAAATTTACCATGATACGCGTAGATTTCATGGAAAATGAGAAAAATAAGGCTGTGCCTTTTAATAATTATTATTTGCCCCTTCTTTGACTACCGAAAAAGTATTTTTCATATCATCCATGCCGGCTAAGAGCAAGTGCACGGAATCAATAAATCAAAGCACAACCAAAGCTTCAAAAGACCCATTAGAAGATTTTATGAGAAACGTATCTCTGAACAAAAGAAATTCAACTGAAAATCTTTCCCACTTATGATACAAAATAGAGGAAACGGAATTAATTTGAAGGTAGCTCCTTACCTTGACTGTTACTTAACGATTCTATTTCTGATTTGACAGCACTCGTTGTTTCGTTATTTATGATGGCGTGGGTCAAATCAGGAAGTGTCATGGCTAGTAAAAACAGCCACACTTTGAAAGCCATTGCATCTAAATCTGAGTCGATGGATACTCTGAAACAGACATGATAAAGATTGACTTAGTAGTAGGATAAACATTTAACCGAAGGATAATAGAGAGGCTGCGAAGAGTCCGTTGTCGTCCTTTCTATTTCCTTTCAATGTCCATTGTTGTCGGCACACCTTTTTGGGGGCTTAAAAACACGATAATTGAAAATCATGCAGACGATTTAAGGAGAAAAATATGTATATTTTTTCTAACGTTGCAGATCGACAAAACACTCAATCGCGTGTTGTCGATTTTGGTCTGTATCGAAGGAGCATACCTTCGTTTCACGGATTGCTTGGCACGTGTCACTTTGCTGGAAGGTGAGAGACGTCAATGCGCCTTCATTTCTATCTTGTGCAACAAAGAGAACATTTAAATACAAATAGTTGCATCCATGTATTACTTTTTGTAAAGAACTGAAAATTTGTGGCGCGGTAAATTTTATTTTGCATTTCATTTTAGTTTACGAGTATGTTTTAGTTCATGTTAAAAAGTTTTTCGAGAACCCCCCAAGAAAAGATCACAAAATACAACTCTCTAACGGTAGCAATATTAAAGAGCTGAAATGTTTCAACGTGTATTATACTGCGTCCGCAGCAATTGTTGTTACGAATATGTTGTGCGTGCTGATCTCAGTTTACTTACTTGGCCCTCTGAAGGCGTTTCATGTGCAAAAGTAGAGAACCCTAATGGAGAATAACAGAAGTGAGATTGCGGATGAATCGCTCAATCCCTTCGTTCGTTCTCCGACAAATTGCGCTACTTGCGCACATAAAACGCCTTCAGAGAGTCAAGTATGAAATGAGCTGAAATTAGTACCCATAACATATTCGAAACAACAATTGCTGCAGACGCAGCAGAAGGCGAGTTGTTCAGTTAAAAAAAAAAGAGTACGATAGGTAGTCTGCATGTAACGCACGGCCGGATTAAGGGAGCGTCTTTAAGGAGGTGATTAAATCTATAGGGGGCGGCAAATTTTGCATTTTTTTTTAAATGTAGGTATAAAAAAAATTGGATTTAGAAAAAAAAAATTACAAACGAGAGAAGGCGACAAAATCTCTCATTTCCTGAGAGTATAATAATCTCTAATTTTGTCGTCTTTCAGAAAGACAAGAGACAGCACCTTTAATTATTCAAGTTAAGAGAGAAACCAAATAGTTAAAACACGCAATTTGGCCCGGAACGGCGCGACTTAGAGAGAAATGATGACGAGGACTTGAGATGAAAAGGAGAAGCTCTCGGCGCGGCGATCGGCATATAACAAATATTAGCGACACAAAGACTGCACGAATACTTCACGCATTGCATCAAACAGAGAGCGGTCATTGCGGTCAGCGTAAAACGGATAGCGCCTACAAGACTGCGTGAATACTTCGCGCATTGCGTCAAACACAGTGCGTTCAGCAGCGGTCGCGTCGGCGTGAAACTCACAGCGCCTATAAGACTGTCGGAATACTTCACGCATTGCGCCAAACACGGTGCGGTCACTCGGTCAGCGCGGCGCGGCGGCGGAAGTTAAAATCATGAATCCACATTTATGTTTGTTCTTTCATAATTTTTTCGTTCATTTCTTATGAATGGAGGGCCTTGTCCACACAGAGACAGGTTTACGAAACCTAACTTTCGCACAAAGTTCCGTGAACTTCTGCTAGTAGTGTTGACAGGGCTTTCCCAAAAAATGTGTCCAACTCTAGTAAACGCGTCTTATGCACCCTTCCCCCGCTGGCACGTTCAATTGATGGTTCTTATTGATGGTTCAAAACTAATGAGAAGGGGGCGGCAAAATACAGGCGGCCCATGGGCGGCAAGTAGGTAAATCCGGCCCTGATGTAGGTAAAGAGAGGGTGTGTATTCGAACACGAATCGAACGAAAAATAAAAACGTGAACCGATCAACACTGATTCAAGGGAGAAATAAACACAAACAACTGATCAAAATCGGAAGAAAACTTGCATTTACTATGAAAATTTTAAATTGCGATTTCTCGAAATTAGGATCAGCCAAGATTTTCATGTTTCGCGATTTTATGTATTAACACGCACGAGCACGTACCATAGAATCACCCCTTGCAAACCGTTTTTGGGTACATTTTTATCGCATTTTTTTTTTCTTCAAGACCACTGTGTGATGGTACATTATCCTAAATTCCCTAAAACTCGGACCAGTCTACAGCTCATCAGATGCATATGTATATTGAGAGATAAATGCAATTTGACCATGAACTATCTTGGAGTAATTCTGAAACCTTCATGCAGGTCCGTCACATCCTATCTCGGGCCCTGGTACCAGTTTTAAGGCCCGGGCCTCCAGCACAGAGGGGGTCTGGGGGCCTCCCCTGGGAAATTTTTAAAATTTTAAATCTACTTGTATTGGACGCATTTTGAAGCTCCCATGACGGAGATTTTCCATCAATTTCTGCAGATTAGTTACGTTTTTTTTTTTTTTTTTACTTTTAGCACAACATACTTTCGGATTGTTGCATTCAAAACACCTGGAAATTTTTTTCGGGAGGGGGGTCAGATGATACTATTTTCAATTCTAGGGTGATCCAAGCCTTCCTGGACTTCTCTTTTGTATGTCTATGGTAAGGAATTTGAGTCATTGAACTCGCGGATGCCCAGACTGGAGACTCTTAGCATCCGACGACGGAAGAAAATGAAACGCAGTTACTAAAAGTATCAATTTATACTACAAATCTTGAAAATAGATAGAAATCTTCAAAGCAGTAAGAAAAATTCCACAGTGCCCCAGCATTTTTTGAAAATTTATTCACCTTTTGCGAAATTTTTAGGGTAAATTTTTCACTTTTCCTTACGAGACAAGGGTTACATCTGAATTCGTAGTGGTTTTTCACCAGTGGCACGGGCCCCGGAACCAGGGACCCAGTATCCCCCCCCCCCCTTGTAGCGGGCCTGCCTTCATGAACAGATGTCGCGGAACGCAGTTTCAAATCCAGTATTTTCACTGAGACCATAATTTTGGAGTTATATGTTTCAAATTACGTACTTTACCATTAGATTTTTTAATCGAGCATCTTACGTGACTTACTATATAGAATTATGTAAATTTAGGGGATTTTTGAAAGAAAAAAAAGTATTTAAAATTTATAAATTATACGAATACATGAAAGACCCTCAGAGGCGAGATCCTGAAGAAAAAGGTTTGAACTCAATTTAACAGCAACCTTGAAGCAAACGGCAAAGAAGAATAAGGGGGTTTGGTTCAGGGTAGCAAAATTTCATGAAAAATAAAATCTCGAAATTTTACGTGAAATATTTCATGAAATTTCAGAAATTTATGAAAGATGTTGAAAAATACCAGTTCCTTTTCATGTTTCGCGAAATGTAAAAATTGCGAGTTTCCTATTTTTGTGTGTTTGATTGCGGGTTGCATACTCTAGCTCCTCTAAAATATGAAATATTTCACAGCCTCGTGAAATTTCATGAAATATTTCACTCAAATTTCCAATCTTTCGTTTCCTTCTTTCGTTTCATGCCACCTTGGTTTGATTACCAGGAGAAAAAGGAGGTGGTCTACGGAGAGTGAATGAACCTCCAATTTAAGCCATGTACTCGAAAAGTTGAATCCACAGTGCTCATGAGAAGTTTGAATCAGTGGCGTGGCCTGAATGATCGATTATCGATATTTCCCCATTTAAAGCTGTGATAAAGAATCGATCATTACGGTGTTCGCTGCGAACACCCTGTCAATCGATCCTTTACCACAGGTTTAAATGGCAGATCAATCGATATATCGCAAAGCACGCTACGCCTCTGGTTTGAATCACTTTCACATAACCGGCGCGGCGCGCTGGCTACACAAGCCATTGTGTATGCCAAAGAGAGTGGAACTTCCCACCGAAACAGTCAGATTGAGCATCACCTCACCGCACTAATCCGGAGGAGTTTAACGGGCGGGAATTTTGAATTTCTGTAGTTGGATGGCAACGTTCGAAGGGTGTACTGTGGCTTCGCTGGGATCGCGCGCCAAATCTTCAGCAGGGAGCAGTGTATCCTCAGATTGGACTCATATAGAGACAAAAAAGAGGATTTTCGCATCTCGGGCATCTTGGATTCTTTTGATGACGTAGGTCGGTACGGACGAGTTTTATCATCGATTTTCTTGGAAGTAGTTTATCGAAAAAAGTCATTCTATATAAAGTGTTTGAAATTATATCATGAGTTGATTTAAGCAAAAAAAAACGGACATTATGGTCCGTTTTTCATACTTCGAATTCCGGATTTTGCTGGCCAGGTTGTACCGACCTACGGCAAGGGGTAAACAATCCTTAAGATGCAAACACCTCTTTTTTCTCTACGCTGTACTCCAACGCGGTGTTAAAATCGCTCTGGAAGATTCAAATTTAAGGTCGGTTACATTTTCGGCAACAGTACAGAAGCTGTCGTTTTCCCCACGAAAGAACGTACCTGCGACTCTCTCTCCATGTTGTCCCCCTTGTAGACTGCATTTTTACCGGGAGAATCTTCAGCATTTCCAATGGAATTTTACTGACTTTTCTTCGAATCGCATTAAAAAATCATATAAAATTCAAGAGGAAATTGCTTTGCACGGGTACATTTTTGTAAAAAATTGAATTCTTTGAGCCTGTTGTTCGACGTCGAATTGGAGTCACGCTCCTTTGTCCAGGAAGCGACGGGAATTTTATGAGTTACAGTGCAGCGACAGCCTGCATTTATTAGTATGAACGTAAACGCATCGGGGAAATCATCAAGGATGCAGAGAGCCTTCTCTTCCGCCACCTAAGATTTCTTGTTCATGCGTTGGTAACCTCAGCATCTATACCAGAAAGTCGAAGAGAAGTAACTGGAAAGTTTGGCTTTTAATCGCTGATTGGATGCATCAACGTGTTTTTCGAAAAATATTATGTATGCTTTAGATTATAACGAGGTGGTAAAATTGTGTTAGGTCCACACCATTTTGCGGGAAGCAAGGCTGAAAATTCGAAACATTTCAATTGAAGTCAAGACCCAAGTAGCAGAGGTTGCAACAACTTGCAACAAAATCGTTTGATTCTTGCAACTAATAGATTGATGTGCAGATTGCCTACTCTCTCCCCTGAAGGAGCTATTATTGTTGGAACTAAGTTAACATGGTTCAAATTCAAAGTATTGCTGGTTGCCTATCTTAAGATTTTAAACAACTTTGGTTCAGCAATTTTGCAATGTCAGCAGGTTGCAACTTTGTCCTCCAATCAGATCGCCGAAAGTCGGCACTCATGGACCAAAAGTTGACCGAAAGTTGCAACTTTGTTGCAACTAATACCAACATTGTTTCAACATTCTGCAACTTTTACACTGAAAAATGCTATTTGGGTAAGATCTCTGATAGGTATCAGTACAAGACGATCAAACGCGTTAGTCGATCCTTCAGTCGATCGACGACGACAACAATCGAGAGAAGGTCAAGGCTATAACTGCGAATTCAATGGGGACAAGATCATCGTTCATCAATTTGTCCCCCTACTTCAAGTTCCCTTTCCGATTCGCATGACCCCGATTTTGGAAAATTCGTTAAGACGGTGACAATCGATTTTTCAGTGCGCTTGCGCGGCGGCGTCGCGGTTTCTCGGTGCCACTTTCGCTCATTATCAGTGTCCGAGCGGTGGATTTGTGTGCAGCCGAAGCCAAACCGCAGACGGCGGAATGAACCTCAGTTAACCACTGCAAGATGTGCCACAGAGTGGAGCCACAATCAAGATCGGCAAGAAAATCCGGTCATCACTCCAGAGATCGTGGTATTACACAGTAGTGGAACTTCCAATCACTACACGAAACACTTTTTTTCTGGCGCGATCTGCACTACATGTGTGGCACTTTCTTGAATCTTCATTTGTGGACGGTTGCTGGGTTTTAAACTCTCCTTATTTGATTCGCTAATCTGTTTGCACCGATGAAAATTCGCAAGTGATTCTAGCTTGCTGCGAGGAAAGTTCAAATTAGGGACAATTATAGTTTAAAATGATATTCACCTGAAAAAGTTTAGTTGGAAAGACCGCTAGACATTATAGGGTGGGCTATAAAAAAAAAAAATTAATTGACAGCGTTTACGGCTAACGGGGATATTTTTTGGAGCAAAAATAATGAACATTCGTCCAAATCGCATCAAAAGTTTAGAATTTTTCGAGGTCCCGGATTGAGAATTCTCATTTTCGCCTTTTTTTCTGCGCTGCCTGAAAGTATCTGAACTGTTTCAAGCATTATGCCGTCTTGGCGATTTCTCGCGTGGTTCAGCATTATCAAATTTTTAAGGTACAGAATCTTTGCCACTGTGACATACTCGCAGCCATAACGAGCCGCACTCATTGCAAATCGCGTTTTTCGCTTTTGATGCATCTGTGCTTCACCTATGCAAAGCCACAAAATGCATGCAGCTATGAATGCCGTTAAATGTTTTAAAAATTGTATACGAATACACATTTTTGAGTAATTTTACATCATTAGCCCAGTTTACCTTCAAAAAGTATCTACAAATCCTTGTTTGCTTCAACTTTGCCACGATGCCACATAAAAAGTTATTCCAGCTTAATAGACGGAAGATTACATAGTGAGCTGTTTATCAAACGACGTAAAGTATCAATTCCAATATCTAAACAAGTGCCATCTAGTGAAAATATATGAGGGTCATTAAGTAAGGTATGACAATTTCCAGGTAAAGGATATGGTCATGGCATAATCTTTTGCATTCTATTTCAATGTTATAGTGACGGATTGAAAGCTGATTTCTAACAAGTTCTTCCAGTTTTTTTTTTTTTTTTTTTTTTTTTTTTTTTTTTTTTTTTACGATTGATTGGAAATATTGTGGATTCAATTGGAACTGATAATGGCGGTACAACTCAACGAAAGTTCGAGATCTGACAACGGAGAATAGCAAAATTGCGGAAACCCGCCGATGGACCACTAGACAAGGTACGAATTTAAGCTTTCTGATACATGCATATTAACCAGAATTTCACGTAGAACACAATTCGCGCGACGAAAATTACCGAAACCAACGCCTAACGGAGATATTAACGTTTTAATTTCACATTGGTTACGATAAATTTGAACTGCCCGCTCACAAGAAACTCAAAGCTCTACGTGAGTCAAATTGCGCACTACAGCGGTTTCAGCAGGCTTCTCAATCGAGCATTGTTCATTCCCCACCATGTGTTTTTCAAACTATAAGTAATTTGCTATAACTGAGCTAAAGCGTCAAGATTGAGGTTGCCAGATTTTTTTTATCGCAGAGACGTTCATGACAACGTTTAGCGCGCGATGTGAATCACGTAGAGCATTGAGTTTTCATGAGCGGGTGGTTTCAATTCACGCACCGAGAATCATTAAATATCTTCGGAAGGAGTTGATTTCGGTAATTTTCGTTGTGCGCGTCGTATTCTTCGTGAAATTTTGGTGGAGAAACATGTATCAGAATGCTGAAATTCGTACAATGTCTAGTGGTCCATTCCGCTCCTGAAGTGGCATGTGCGCCAAAATCTGAGCGTTCTCTCGCCGCAACGACTCGGTTGCAGGGTTTTTCGTGGGCGCCAGAAGCCGCAAAAAAACGATTCATGAAGGTTTCGTGCCTTAAAAATTTGATCCTGCTGTACCACACAAGATACGGAGACGGCAAAATGAAGGAGTCACTTCAGAGACTTAAACGCAGCGCAAAAAAGTAGGCGTACCGATAAATGCGACTTGCTCGATGCATGGAGACCTTATTATGTAAAAATTGAACCACACCAAAGACTTTTAGATCTTTAGTGGTGCACATTTGTGCTTTGCCTGTAACTTCGATGGACGAAAAACGCGATTTGTGAAGAGTGCGAATTCATGTGCGGCTGTGAAGAAGGCGTAGTTGCGGAGGATTTGTAAACACTTTTTTTTATGAGTGTGAGGAAACTGCGCTAATCATGTGAAAACACGCAAAAAATTATGTCTGAGGACAAATTTTCAGATCTCTTGGGGACCTTTGTATCTCGCAAGCCACTTGGATCGGCAAAAATCGCGATTTGCGGTGAATACGACTGGTTACAGTTGCGAATATCTATAGCTATATTGAAGTGTAAATAAGAGTTTTCGAAAATTGTTCTCAAGAAAACTGTGCAAACCACGTGAAATTATGCGGAAAATTATGAATTTAGACAAATTTTCAGACCTTCAGCCGCACGCGTTCATATACGTCACGGAACCTGCCTAGGAGAAGGTTTGGTTTAACTTTTTTTTGCAGTGATTCTGTTTCAAATGCATCATTCTAGTCACACCATTAACGTTGCAGCTTAATGCAAAGTTATGACAACGAAATGCTGACAGATACCTGGATGCGAGTTACACACTTGGCAATTTTTTCTGCGTTAGGTCCTGTTCCTAAGGCGCGGGATCCCTGTTTCGGTTTCCTGGAACACGACAAACGGTCACTTGGAGGATGAAGTAAAAGCACAAAAAAGGGGGTCAAATTTACTCACACTGCGGGAGGGATGCGGGCAAGGCGATTTTTGGCGGGAAAAACGGCGCGAATCGTCGGGGCACTCGGACTGGCGAGGAGGAAAGCACAAGTGTGAGCCAACGACGGACGCTAGATCGAGGTTGTGAGATTCGACTGAGCTCCGTTCCGTTCATCCGTTGTTGATGGAGATGCTACGTTACGGTGCGCCGCTTCGCTCCGGCGACGTGAGTGCCTCGATGCCAAATTCGGCCCTCAAAGCATTGGTCTAGGGAAACGTACCCTAAGGAATACACGGAGAAAAAAATCCTCGTGCGTGGGACCCGAAGTTTAGGTCATATGGATCTCTGAAGTTTTCGGATTGAGCATCTGAACACTTTAGGTCTAGTTGTCGAGGTTCGGATCGCACATCTGAAACTTCAGTTCTTACATCTGAAGTACTTCAGATGTGAGAACCGAAGTTTTTCGGATGTGCATGAGAACCGAAGTTTTTCGGATGTGAAAATCGAAGTACTTCAGATGTATAAGAACTGAAGTTTCAGATGTGTGATCCAAACCTCAGCAGCTGGACCTAAAGTGTTCAGATGCTCAATCCGAAAACTTCAGAGATCCATATGACCTAAACTTCGGGTCCCACGCACGAAGTTTTTTTCTCCGTGTAGTAATATCAGTCACAACAGAGACGTGTCTCATTTGTTTTGATGGTGAAACTAAAAAAACACGCACTCCAATTTGCGACATTACAAATTTCTTTTAAAAAAATATAATTTTATGAAGATCTAAAGCCCCCGGTGCGTACACGATGAAAACACCCTGAAATGATCAGGGGCGGAGTGGCCAAGGTGGTATTGGGGCGATCGGCCCTTTGAACTTGACAAGAAGGCCCTCGAAAGCTCATTTTGGGAAGTTTTAACTCAATAAGGGGTCCCTTGTGACCCTTACGGTTCACTAGGGTATGTTTTAGCCCATTCTGATTTTTTGTAGCAATTGATCAAGTTTATTTAAATTTCAACATTATAGAGATTCTGCAAGTGCCTTTGATAGACTTGACCTCTTGGTAGGCATATTAAAAATTTGAATGGTTGCAAGTAAACACCGAATTCGTCAAATAAATAAATAAAAAAAAATGAAAAATCCGTCGAATGATGAACCCTAGATACTGCTCACCTTTGAAAATTTTGACTAGGATGGAATGACTATTTTTTAATATTTGTTACTTCCGTATCACGGGCCGTTTGCTTTTAATCTAGTCATTTTTGAAAAAATTATAAAAAAATAGTCAAATATGCAAATTATGAGGGATTTTAACATTTGTTTGGGGAAGAGTCCCTAGACCACCAGGGGAACCCCCAAATCCACTTCTGGAGAGGTCTATCCCCCAGAAAATCTCGAGCCAGTTCACCCCTGCCAATGATGATCTTATGGGATAATTTTCATGATTCATAAACTAATGGAGCCAGAAAAAACCTTTATGACTATGAGAGGAAATTCAGACCATCTGTTGAATGTATTCGGCAGATTATAAGGTAAATCCTCTAAAAGACAATTTTTGGCGGTAGTTTTAAATTGTGTTGTTCAAACTACACATTTTTGTAAGAACATGATCATTTTTACTAAATTTAATTTTGCCCAGGAAAAGCGCCATTGGAGGCAACATGGGGCACCGAGATGGACATTTCCAGTAGAGAAACTCCTTCATGCTCCTATGCACACACCAAGCTCCTCTCTCTCACTCCACCTCTTTCTCTCTTTCTCTCTCTGTGGGTCATCAACGCAGGTGAGCCATTTCATGAAAATAGCCTGCGCAGCGTTGCACAGGTACGAGGAAAAATCCCTCGATCCACTCGTAACATCGCGGTAAAGTTCGCAATTTTTCGCACGGCCCAACAAGTATGGACATTTCGCTTGCTCAATTTCCCAATCATAAACAAATGAAAGCTTCGTCGATTATTTGCGCCTGTTCCTCATATTTTTTCAGTTTTTCTTTGCTTACGTGCAAATCCTCCGATGTCAGTCTGGAAGACATTCTGCACACGGAGATCCCTCACTGGGTATCCGGGAAATACAAGCTGATAAGGTATAAGTAATTTCAGAGGATCAAATCTATGTTTTCGCCAAATGATATTTGAATCGCTAAATTCTTGTTTGACTCCTAATTTTATTCTTCTGATGTTAATGAAAAACGAGCTCTTTTTTTTTAAATATGATATTACTAAGGGTTGTCTTCAGTTCTCAGAGTTTGCTTCATAACNGGGGGGGGGGGGGGGTATTTCGAAAAAGGAGGGTGTACAGTACACTTTAAAAACCAGCCTAACGAGGAAGGGTGAGGAACGGATAGACTTACAGATAGAACCACACCTTCATCTTCCCTCCCGTCTATGAGCTCTCGCTCACATTTGCATATGTCAACTACTTTGACTGCGTAAATGCAATAAAGCAATACTTGATCAATTACAGACCTGTCACATACGGAGAACAAAGGATCTCCAGACAGGATCAGAATTATACTGCACAAAACTTTGAGTTAACAATGCATTGTTATTGTTGTTACCAGGAATGTGAGAAATGCTACTTCTAAGGTAACATTGTAACTACGAATAGGAAAGTAGGTGCGGGCCGGGCCTAGAATCTTATATTCTTCTTTTTCTTTATTTTCTTCTTCTTCTTCTTCTTCTTCTTCTTCTTCTTCTTCTTCTCTTCCTTCCTCTTCCACCCCTTCCTCTACGAACGACTAGGGTATAGCAGTCCTGATAGTTCATCAGGCTATCTAGCACCGAGGACGTTAAATCATGAATATCATAAAAACATAAAATCGGTAAATATAAAGGACTCGCCAAATCAATAAGACGAAAACAGCCATGAAATATTCTATCATTCTCAGGAGAAGAGAGCCAGCTTTGTGCCCATCTCTTAGGCGTTCAGGTAATCTAATCCCTAAGGGCTGTCCAATGTGAGCATTGCAAAAGCAACGATTCCTTTTCATAGAAAGGTCGGTACGCAAAGTCAGGTGACCATCGAACGAAGAGGTAAGACGCACGCTGTCACTAAGTAGAATAAAAACAAAAAATCGAAAAGAAATCTCTTGGACAGCTAGAGCTGCATCTTAGACTTTACGGTTGTTGAGTATGGAAGGTGGTTAAATTATGGCTCGGAGAGAGGCGAAGATTACCACGTCCGTACGTCCGCGGCAGAAGAGGACGTCAGGACGTGGACGTGTCCGGGGGTTTTTCTTCTAGAGTTTTCGAGACGTTGGAAACGTTGACCGCGCAGACATACAGTCCAGACTGCAGCTACACATAGATACTTAAAGAAACTTCCTGCGGTTGCACGGATGCAATCGAATGAACAGGCATTGACTATGCCTGTATGCCTATATCGTTGTGAATAATTTGATCGTTTGAATGAACTAGGGTTCGCATTCAAGAGAGTAAGTATTCGAGAAAACCACTCCTTTTTAGTTCCTCATGGCTGGAGGATAAAAATTCATTCTTACAAATTACGTGCACAGAAAAAAAAAATTCGCAACAAACTGATTTCTAGAACGAATTTTTTTTTATATATAAAGGTCTAAATTTTTGGGAATTAGCTTAAACTATTTGATTAAAAGGAGATACCCACAATAATAAAATTAAAAGTTGAAAATGGAAACTAAGTTTCAAAATTTGTATGTATGTATAAGCCGTTTTTACGGCGCGTTAGGGCGCTCTGCGACGCCTACTCTCCACAGGAATCTGTCATGGTAGAGATTCTCCGGAAGACCGTGAGTACCGTGAGTTTCAAAATTTTCCGGAGCTAAATCCTCCGATTTTGATTCAATCCTCAGGCCCGGATTGTTCTATTGGGCAGACGCAGAAGGAGCAGCCGCCCCCTAGCGGGAAATTCCGAGTTCCAAGAACTAAAAAGGAGCGGGCGGGAAAAATAGAGCCCACAAAGTTGCGAAAGACAGCATGAAATTCCAGTGCGCACATAAATAAACCCATTGCCGTATTCCTATTTTACTACCACCTACGAGACATTTGATTGACACTGAAAGGTATAGGATACTTGGAATTCAAAAATACAGAATATAAGCAAAGCAAAATTATGCAAAAATAAGTGGAAAAAAAGTGAAAAAGAAGGTCTCAATTATTGAAATTTGGTTGAGAACAGCTAATTTTGCTTCGGTTGGCAAATAAAGTTTCAAAAATGTCCAGACTCCAAATCTTCCGCTTCTGGCAAGGCCCCTCCCCCCCTCCTCCCAAGCGCAGTCATGTTTCACGCAAGTTGAGAACGGCGGAAATTTGTCTGTTGACTTTTTAGCGGCAAATACGTGAATCTGGGCCTATACAGCCGTATGGAGAAACATTTAACTCCAGATATTTCTTTCGGGGCGTTTTTTAATGTTAGGACAATGTGGACCTTAAAGCCGCATCTGTTTACCCATTAAATTATCATTAGGGGTTCAGTCCAAGGAGAAGAGAGAAATTCTCCATGTTGGCCATCTTCCAGGATTATTATTAGGTCTTTTGATAATAAACCTCTCATTTTTTTTTTAAATTTAAGTAAAAATTGAACTTGATTACTTCTAGACTTTTGCAATGCTGATAGAGGAAGAGGAATGCATGATTTGTTTGTGAAATTGCGGTTTTTGAGTGTCGGGATTTCAGGCTGGATGTCGAGACCTTATTGGTAGTAGAATTATATTCCCCTGACTATGTCGGATTTTAGCGGCGCGGGTAGCGAGTGAAAACTCCGACGAGTTTTCCTCACGTCTTTCTAATATTTTCATCTGAAAAGAGCGCGGGCAGGGGTAATTGCAGTGGACGTGATAGTGCTGGTGCATTAACCTTCGTCGCGGTGTGACTCGGCGCGACAGAAAATTAAAAACGAAAGAAGAGACTTTTCTTTTCCTCAGTTCGGCGAAAAATGGAGCACAGATAATCAATTTTGCGAGCATCCAACTCTGATCTTCCCCGTCCGTGGCCCGTGGCTACTATGCGGCAGCGCTGCAGACATCGCGGCTACACGGCAAGCTGCGACCCTCACGCTGCCGGTATGTAAAATCTTGCACCAGTGGTCAAGCAGCACTTTCAAATGCGTAGGAGAATTCAGTTGGTCCTGAACCCCGAGAAGTTCAGAGCTTCATTTTTGTAGATAATTTCAAATTTGCTTACAAATGG